TACTCCCTAGTTGAAGCCCTCTTTCCCCCATTCTTTTACCTTTATTGCAAACTTCCCCCATCCCTGTGAGTCCTAGCAAATGTGAGGTTTACTGAAAAAATAAATTCTTCTCTCCTTGCCAGGGCCAGCTCATGGGAGTGAAATCTGCATAGCTGCAAGGAGCCCCACACTTAGAAGGGCTCTGTACTTGTTTTAATTAATGCTCTGCTGTCACTGACTTGGAATTCTTAATAATTTTGAACAAGGGATCCTGTATTTAACATTGCACTGGGTCACACAAATCACATAATTGGTCCTGCTCTGTGCTGTGGACATTGAGATAGGGAGAAGAGTCATACCACATAAGTTAAGACTGGACGGTGTACCTGTTGTCCCCTTTGGAACTCAGCAGGCATTTTCCCATGAGAGGCAATCCTCAGGTGGATAGAGTTGATAAAAGCTCTACCCTCCTTACCCTAATATTTTCATCTCTAAAATGGGGATAGCAGCACTTAATTTGCATGTTATTCTGTTGAGTGGGATCATGCATATAGTACCCATCAGAGTGTTTGATATTTAATAAATGAAATCCATGGGAGATATCAGGTACAGAAAACAGAGTTTGAACTCTGGAGGAGCTAACTTAGAATTGCATCAGCTCTGGCGCTTAAAAAGATGCATGACTTGGAGCGCCTGGGTGGCTCAGTTAGTTAAGCGTCTGACTTTGGCTCAGGTCATGATTTCATGGTTTGTGAGTTAAAGCCCCACAGTGGGCTCTCTGCTGTCAGCACAGAGCTGGCTTTGGATCCTCTGTCTCCCTCTCTCTGCCCCTCCCCTTCTGAAGAATAAATAAACATTGGGGCACCTGGGTGGCTCAGTCGGTTAAGCGTCCAACTTTGGCTCAGGTCACGATCTTACTCTTACGGTTTGTGAGTTCGAGCCCCACATCGCGTCAGGCTCTGTGCTGACGGCTCAGAGCCTGGAGCCTGCTTCAGATTCTGTGTCTCATTCTCTCTCTGCCCCTCCCCCACTTGTGTTCTGCCTCTCTCCATCTCTCAAAAGTAAGTAAATATAAAAAAAAAATTTTTTTAAATAATAAATAAACATTTATAAAAAAAAAAAAGATGTGACTTCCGGTGGGTGACTTGGCTTCTCCCAGCCTCAGTGTCTTTATCTGTAAAATGCCTTTATCTAATATTTGCCTTGTAGGGTGATCATGGGATTTCAGTAATCTAATGTATTTAAAGAGCCTAGTTTATCACCTGGCACCTGGTAAGAGCTCAAAAAATAGTTGGTTTGGTTCCCTTATAACACAATTTCTGTACTCTAAATTCATTTACAGGTGATGTAGGGATACAACCATTAATTAGTGTCTTATACTATCCAAATTCTTTTATGCTATGTGACCTACAAAATGGGACCTCCTTGTATGTGAAAATCACTTTGTAAAAAATATTTGAAGATTATTCTTCCTTCTTTGCTAGACTGTGAATTCCCTGAAGGCAAGAACCGGGTCTTATTTACCCTTGTAGCCTAGAACACCTTCTAACACATGTTAGAATCCTCATTTAGGGGCGCCTGGGTGGCGGAGTCGGTTAAGCGTCCGACTTCAGCCAGGTCACGATCTCGCGGTCCCTGAGTTCGAGCCCCGCGTCAGGCTCTGGGCTGATGGCTCAGAAGCCTGGAGCCTGTTTCCGATTCTGTGTCTCCCTCTCTCTCTGACCCTCCCCTGTTCATGCTCTGTCTCTGTCCCAAAAATAAATAAACATTGGAAAAAAAAAATTAAAAAAAAAAAAAAAGAATCCTCATTTAAATCAAATCTGTCTTCTGTATGTGTATGCCAACTACAAGATGATAATTTTCATAATATTCCTAAGTTAACAATGAATTATTAGCCTGTCGATGATTAGGATGTACAGTGTACCAAATACAGCCCCATCTCTGCCGTTAAAGGCCTTTCTTTTCCTTGCCCATCACACATGGCTCACGTTCCTGCATCCTTGGGTCTGGTTCTTGCTCCATTAACAAGGCTATTTCCAAGAGGGACATAACTCCGTTTTGTACAACCAGCTACCTTCTCTGGCAACAACCTGTGGGGAGAAGCCACTGGAGGAAGAATTTCCTAAAACCCCAACCAAAACTCAACCCCCCTTTAAGATTCAAAGAAGCCTCAGAATGGTGACTTTTAGCCATTTGAAGGCTATGGGTCCCTGTGAGAGCCTTCTCATTGTTATGGACTTTCTCTCCTGAAAATTGTACTCAATGTCTTACATACAATTTCAAAGTGTTTTCAGAGCTCCTGCAGCCTTTGTACCTCAGGTTAAAAATTCTTCTGAGAAGAAAACTGAATGAGCAATGTGAAAAATTCGAGCTTCCTGATAAATGCTAGCCCTGTTCAAAACACACTGCCAAGTTCAAAACAAAACAAAGCAAAACAAAACAAGTTACAACACCCTAGATTGAACCTCAGGGTTATCCCTGAGGGCCCAGGCCTGCACCTTAATGGTAAGGGCATCCAGCCAAGCAGTGACTACTCTCTGGAAAACCTAAGTTCAGCCGAGTAAAATGAAGCCTTGTTTGATAATATCGTTTACATTTCCAAATCCTGGGTATCAAGCTTTCTTCCTATCCCTTGTGGCCCTTCCTAAGTTTAGCCGCTGGTGTAATGGGGTAACCATGGCAACAACCACCTGCCTATTTAAAACCATCTCCAAAGCTAAATAAGGAAGCCTGGGGAAAATGGCTGCTCGCCTGCCTCTCAGTGGACAAACTGGGCACTCCTGAGTACTTTCAACATGAGCAAGCAGGCACAGGAGAAGCAGCATGGACTCAAAGTTCTTACTGGGAAGGGTTCTAGGACCTGTGAAACAGGGCCCACCTCTATGCCACTATGTTTCCGTTTACTTGCAGATACATAGATTTACACACAAATCTGGGTGCCTGGCATCCCAGGCCACCACACCACCTTGACCTCGACCAGGGCAAGGGTGTGCACCTCACTACAGAGTAGTCTTATTAATGGAACTGGGGGAGTGGGAAGGAAAAACAGTCACCAGATCACCAGGAAACGTGCAATTACAACTGTTTTTTCTCCCCTGATAGAAGTATCTTCCTAATTGTGTTAATCATGTGAATAATTGAAGATGACTCTATTTATATCATACGTTGACCTATTGATTTCTGGAATATGGAGAAACTTCTCCCTCCCTCTGCTTCCTCACTCTCTACAAACTATAGGGGCTTTGCTTCTTCCCTGCCAAGAGACCAGCACAGCTTGCTCTACCCCAAGCATTCTGCCTTCTCTCACTCCTTGTTATCTTTTTGTACATTTGGTTCTTTTGGCCTGGGCAGCCCTTCTCTTTTTTGTCCACCTGGCAAATACATCCTTGTTTTCTGGTCTTGGCATCTGTATGGTTGGAAGCCCCACCACACCAAATTCTGTGCCCTTGCTTCCCATAGGTTACCTATGGTTCCTTCCCATAGGTTACCTCGATTCATATCACTTAACACAAGTCACTATGCATGTCTGCAGCACTGGATGGTCAGTCCCTACACATGGCTCTCCAAAACACCTACAGAACAGTGCCTGGCATAGAGTATATTTTCAAAAGCTAGTGTTGAATGGATGCATGAACAGAGCCCTTATGGATTTCACAAGCATATGGCATCTTAACAAGTACATGTGTATGACTATGCATAAGGATACCCTGTGAAAAGAGGACCCAAAAAGTCTACAGTGGACAGAAGAGAAAGAAGATTTAGTGTGGATGTGAGAGTGACACAGAAGGTCAGCTGATCTGTGAGTCTGTGTTTGCAATAAGAGTGGGGCTGGACCCACTCTTAACAATCACCTGTTAATAGTGACTTGTGAGTTGGGCACAAGCTGTGTGAGACAGCCAGATGGAATATTCCTGGGACAGAATGCCCACCCTAAGGAGACGATGAGTTCAGCTATTGGATCCCACAGATCACTTTTCCTGAAGCTGCAGTATGTTACATTAAAGACTTTCTTTTTCCCAGTTAACCTCCCAGGCATTGAGGTCAGGGGAAAGGAGTAGGGATGAAAATGGTGGCGCTCTTTGGGAGTGTGAGGCTTTAAATAGATGTCTTCAGACAAGGCTGGGCCTCTGCTGTGAAGAGGATCCTATCTGCTAACTAAGTCACTCCCTTCAGGCTCAGTCTGCATTCTTCCTACCCACCTGCTTGAGGGTGGGATGGGATCCAATGGTCATCTTGAAATGGCACAACAAAGAGGAAAAAAGATGGAGAACCAAAGAGAAGAAATAAAGAAGGAAGAATGGAGAAAGGTATTGCAACAAACCCAGGGGTAGCTATATGCCAGTCAAACTCACTTCTTGCAAATTCGCTCCTGCCAGCAAGAAGGGCTTAGTTTTGTTTGCAAAAGATCTGGTTTTCTCTCTTCTTGTACTTTTGGACCTAACATCCAGGCTACACACAGGGTGCACAGGCTGAGGCTGGAATGTGCTGGGCTCCAGGTCTCACAGCGCCAGCAGGGGCCTCCCTCTGCTGCCCCCTGCTGTCAGGGGACGCAGAGGCGCCGCCCTCCCGGCCCTCCGGTCTCCCTCCCTTTGAGACCGAGAGAAGCTGAGGCCCCTGCCCTTCTGCTTGCCCCTCCCCAGAGAAATTCCAGGGGGCTGGGGCTGCAGGAGCTTTCCGTCTAGAGAAAGCGGCCAAGCCCCCGAAGAGGGTTCCAGTTAGCCAAGAGCAGATCCCCACCCCTCAAGGCGGGCACGCCACGCCCTCCTTGCCAGCCCCGCAATCCCTCCCTCTGCACAGCATCCTCTGGGAGGGGAGGGCAGGTTTCTGACAGTGTTTTCTGCTTGGAAATGGAAACCCTCCTTCCGGCGACGGCAACGTGGCAGGAAAGCGAAGTCCTTGGGCGGCCGGGCCAAGAACGTTTGGGTGAGAGCAGGTGGAGGCCTCTGTCTGGCCAGCGCTTCCAGGGGCGGGAGGGGCCAGCGGGCAGTGCAGCCGGGGATGCAGCCTTAGGGCACTCTTACCTGCTGTTGAATTTTTCAGGGTGCTTCTCTCTCATCACGTGGAATCTGTGTGCAATGGAAGCATCCTGAAAGGGAAAGAGAGGAAAGCAGACACCTGGTTAGTGGTCATGACCCTGCAATGCGGAAAGGAAAGGAAGCACACAGGCTCTTACTGAAATCCCCCAAACCCGAGAGTCCATGTCAGAGAGCAGAACTCGAGGCTCCCACAAAGGGTGAACACCAGGTCCAAGGTTAGGGGCTAAGGCCACCAATGCTTATAGAGCCTATGTCAGCCGACTCCTTGCAGCTTCCCCTCTCTGCCACAGTTCAGGGTGAATGAAGGGGACAGCCGCTGCCCTTTGAGGAGAGAGAGGGTGTCTGGGTGTGGGGGCAGCTGCAGTGCAGAAGCCCGCGTGTGGAGCTGAGTGTGAATTTCTGGAAATGCCTTGCCATATTAACTCTTTTAAAAAAATACTTTTTATTTTGGAATATTTTAAGACTCACAAGAAGTTGCAAAAATAGTACAGAGAGTTCCTGTATCCCTTTCACCCAGCTTCCCCCAATAACATCTTATGTAACTACAGTACATTGTCAAAACCAGAAAACTGACGTTGGTAGGTGCTGTTATATATTAACTCTAATCATCCATATCAGTAGAAATAATTAGTGGCATTGAATAACAGGCTTCGTGGATAATAAAAATATGTTTAAACTTCTGGCTTCTGTTTCTTGATCTCCACAGAAAGGACTTTCCCCAAGGCCAAGAGGAGTCTCACTACCACACTCGATGGACACTTTGCTGTCCTCCTATTTGCACACGCCTTTGCTGTGCTACTGGCCACCTGCACCTCAGAGCTCAGTTAGGAAGACTCCCATGATGCCATGCTTCCAGGCTCTCCATCCCCTGACCAGAACTTCTCAACCCTCAGTCCATCTGCGTCCTACATTCATGGGCCATCTCGAGTTCTCATGCTTGTTTCTATCATCTCTGATCCCTAGAACCAACCCTGAGCTTCAGACCTAAAATTGAGCTCATCTTTCCACCTCACACTTGGTCTTTCACTCTCATTAAGAGTCTCATCTTCCCACAGGAGAATGTGTTCCGCCCCTTCGCCACTCAGTCCTCGTGTGAACACGCTGGGTGCGGGCGGTGGGCTTTAGAAATAAACAGGCGAATTGGGCTGGGGTGGGGAGTGACACAGAAACAAGGGAGCTGACTCAGACACGTGCAGGAAAAACGCTACAGAAACTCATTTACTGGACCGCGTGGCTAAAACAGAACTGAAATTCCATTTCAGTGGATGCGTATTAATTCCGTTTCTTGATGCAGACTTACAAAAGATAATTTCTGACTGTTGTCATTATTCTTTTCACATCAGGAGGTAGAGTTCAGTGAAGAAGCTTTTTTGGCGCATGCGCTGTGTGTGGTGAAGAAACTACAGGCTAATGGTGAAGACAGAAAGTCCAGAAGCAAGTTAGGGGGCAAAGAGGGGCTTCTGTAATACTTAGCAGAGGAGCCCAGCCAGCTAGGAGCCCACTACAGAGGCAAGTTGAAGATACGGGCTTGGTTTGTGGTTGGCAAACACTGCCTGCTGAAATAATGTTCTGGGAATTTAACATTCAAGCTCTAGTTATGGTTTAGTTTTTCCTTTAAGTCCCATGGAGGGTTGCAGGTCCTGGTTAGGCACCCACTGTGGACACGAGGTGGGCGATGCACAAAGGCCCTGAAGCATCTATCCCCGGGGTGGGGGGTGGGGGGCGGCCTGTGCTGTTCCCCCAGGCAGCAAGGCCTTCGCTCTCCCTCCCGCGCTCTGAGCAAGTTTGTGAACACCCTGAATAAGATTCATGTGACATCTGTCAAATGCTTCTCTGGGATTCAAGAAAACATTTCATCTACTTGTGTTCCTTTGAAGCACTAATTTTCTTCTGTCAGGAAAAAAGAAAAGAAAGAAGGAAAACGAAAGAAAAAAGCCATCACATGTTGCCTGGCATGATTTGTACTTCACGACCCCCGCACACCGCCCCCCCCCCCACCCTCCACCAGGACTGTTGTGACTGGCTCCTGATTTTCTTATTCTCCAGAATCTGTGCACAGGCTTCCTACTCTCTGCATAGTTCTGATTATTCGGAGTTGTTTTTTTTTTTTTTAACTATGTTTTGCAAAGCTGCTTTTCACAGAGACCAGCCTTTACCATATTATTAGTTAAGCATGTGGTTCCAATATAATCGCTTGACAAATACACAGAGTAGCAGGGGAGAGCTGAGCAGTTCCTTTGCTGTTCAGTCTTGAAAAGGCCATGCTAATAAAGACCGACTCTGACCATGTTTCTCTACCTGGAGATTTACCTGCGCCTTCTGTTGAGTTCTGTGCCGGGCACTGAGCTGGGTGTATTTACATTCAATCGTGATTTCTTTTAAATTTTGGAAGCCAGTGCTACAATGAGTCAAACCCTTTCTTGGTAATAATGACAGCAAAATGAGACTTCTGTTCTGAAGGGACAAGGGGACCAGCATTGCAATGATGGCATTTCTGAAGGCCACACGCTCTGGGGGCCTTTCTATGAGGTTTTGGGTACAGAAAAGAAGATGGGTGGTGCTTTCCTGAGCTAAAACTAAAAATCCAAAAGATTTTTCCGCCCCTTCCAAATATAAGCAGCAGTCATTTGGACTCTGAGACATTTGGATGTCTGGGCCAGTGCTGTCCAAAAGAAATAAATAGAAAATTTCCCAGTAGCCACATTAAAAAAGTGAAAAGAAAAGGGTGAAATTAATTTTAATGATATATTTCATTAACAAATATTATCACTGCAACATGTAGTTAATATAAAAATTATTGAGATATTGGGACACTTGGGTGGCTCAGTCGGTTAAGTGTCTGACTCTTGATTTCAGCTCAGATCAGGATCTCACAGTGCGTGAGTTCGAGGCCCACATCAGGCTCTGTGCCGACAGCGCAGATCCTGCTTGGGATTCTTCCTCTCTCTCTGCCCTTCCCCTGCCTGTACTCTGTCTCTCAAAATAAATAAATAAAACCTTAAAAAATGGAGATATTTAAAATTCTTTCCTACTACATTTTTGAAATTTGGTGTATGTTTTGTACTTATAGCATCTCTCAATTTAGACTAGGACCATTGCAAGCACACCATTGCCTCATGTGGCTGACGGCTACCATACCGGACAAATGCAGGTCTAAGTCACTTTGGCAGCTTACGTTGATAAAAAGACAAAGAAGATAATAAACCACATCATTTGGAACCTGGCTTGTTCTGAAAACTTACGGCAGGTTGGAGGATGAAAAAAGTGCAGACCCCTTGTCCAAGACATCTCTCAGTGAGTCCTGTTGTCTTAGTACCTGCATGGCTCTCACAGGTGACAGACAAGAACATGACACTGAGGAAACCCAAAAAGTTGCAGGGAAAATGATAACTTTTTGGTAAATTCCCCAATGGGGAGGAGGCTCATCATGGTGGAGACTTAGCTGGTGAAGCCTGAGAAATACAATCTGGAAGGGGGAAGATGGTGTGTGGGTTAGCGTGATGCCTGTGGCCTCTCCTTGGCCCCTGGGTTCCCCTAGCATCAGAAATAGATTTCATTGAATCAAGGGATTAGCTGTTCACTCCTCCTGTTAAGGCCCAGTGAAAGCAGAGCCTTTGAGGTATTTGGAGTTACACATACCCCAGGCATTATTTCACAGTCCCCAACTTCCTGTCACTGATACCTGGCCATCCTGACATTTCTGCAAATCCAAAAATAAAGACCAGGGACGAGGAGGCCAGAGAAGCCAGAGGAAGTAGCAGCCTGAATGACTATGTTTAAAATCTCCTGCCAATGGATGTTATCAGTTAGGGGGACTGAGAGGGCCAACTATCCCAGTTCTTCACTGGGAGTGGGCCGGCATGTAAGTAGGTGATAGAAATGTGGTGGCACTGAGGTCACAGTCACTCTCTAGATGGGCCAGGAGAGTGTGTGTCCTGTTTATCCCTCCATGTATTACATGGATTCTGTTGGCACCAAGGGGACCAGGTGAACTTGTCAGGGCAAAATCTTTACCACCTGGGGCCACCACAGCAGCAGTCATTGTCATTGCCTTCATACACACAAGGCAACAGACATCTGTTATCAGTTAAGATATTCCAGGTCCTTCAAAAGAGGCAAAGACTTTGCAAGGCTCTCTTTGCCAAAGGAATCTGACTCTAATTATCACAAGGAAGTAAATTGTGGGTTGGTTTACATACCTACTTCTCCTCTTACAAAGTTTGGGAAGTCAAACAGGGAGGAAGAGCTTCTGCAAATGTCAGCTCCAGATTCTGTTAGGGTTGCGTGTTGGCTACTTGTTTTCTCAAGAATTTCCCTTTCCAACTTTTAAAGAGCGAGCACACAAACCCAGCAAACATTTTATTGAGAGAAGCCTAAGGGTATACCAAGGAGATAAAAAACAGTCCTGGTTCCTCACTGCTTCGCAATAGAATGTTAAATACGCACAGGCTAAAGGTGTATGAAAACAATCATGAGAAAGATACTGTGAAGTTCTTTATAACTTGAAAGATGAACGGATTGGATTATTATAAGTCAGCCCCAGGCAAATAAATACCCTGCCCACTGAGTGTGATGGAGAATCTGCTTGTATGCATTTCCTTGGGGGACAATGAGATGGTCTTCTTTTCCTTCCTCCTGTCCCTCCACTTCCTTCCTTCCTACTTATTTGTAAGAATGAATTAAAACCATCATCATCATGGCTCTTGGGATTACGGCTAGGTTATCTAGTTAATGTGAGGCTGTTTATTCCTTTTTGGTGTGTTTATCCATCTGGTCAGGAAATACTAAGTGAGTGAAATTTTTTGCATATGGCACCGTGTAGAGACAGACCAAGAGGGATCAGGAATCATGTTTTCGCAGCCAGAGTTGAGTGTGTTAAGAAAGAGAAGATGCGGGGCTAAAGACTCTGAAGGCAGCCATGGCTGTAAGCTGCCATCTAGAAGTTTCTAGGCCGGGCACCCAGCCCTGCTACTCAGCTCTCCCGTTTGTCTGGCTGCTTATAGAGGCTGGGTCCCCTCCTTTCTATCATTTTTCCCCTTCATCTAGCTCAGTTCCGGTTTCTGCTCCTGTGTAGGTCCACTTCCTTTGGCCATTCTTCTCTGTTCTGATGGGGTGTCTCCACTCACTGAAGACTTTGTTGGGACCATCCACATCAGAATTCTGTCAGAGGCCTGTTAAAAATGCCAACTCGAACACCTGGCTCAAACCAACCAAATCAGAATACAAACTAGGATCTGTCATGGGGGCGGAATTTACATTTCTGACAAAGGGCACTGGTGAGCCCTCACACACTGGATGTTGAGACTCCCCCCACGGTGTTGCTGTTGAGGGGAAGCATTTGAGGACAGAGGGGGCTGTGCAGAGGCCCCATGGCTCGTGGTCCACAGCTCAGTGAGCTCTGGTGCTCGACGCTCACTCATGGTTCGAGCTCCACTCACCAGCTGCTACCTGTCTCCTTATTGTTCTAAGCTACAGTTCCTCCTGACAAAGTGCCAAAGGATAATGCCTATACCTACCAACAGGGAGCTGTACCTGCCATGCAGTAGGCACTCAATACCTGTTAGCAAGCTATACCCTGGTTACTACAGGAAAAAGACACAAGTGTTGGTGAAACTGTAATGATGGGAAGCCCACGCTCCAGAAGGCTCCCGAACGCCAGATCTGTCAGGCAGGTCCCACTGGCAACAGCTGAAGGCTGCGTGTTCCCACTGGGGGAAGTGGCGCCTGAGTTGGTGGTCCACAAAGGAGAGAGGCCTTTAAGCCAAGAAAAGGAGCGAGGGGTCCGCCTAGGTCACTGAGGGGACAGCTGGAAAGGCCTAGGGAAAGGTGTCTCCCCCACCTGATGCCAGGAGAACTGTGGAGATAAACCCGACTGGGGCACAGAGCCCCCTTAATATGCTGCCAGTCCAATCACCCATCCTCTCTGACCCTGACCGTGGGTACAGCGATACCTCTGTCTTCTGTTGTAGTCACAGAAAACCAGTGCTGACTTAGGAGTCAGAAAATGAAAGCAACCCCCTCCATTTGACTCTCTGTTTCCTCACCCACAAAATGGAGAGAATACTGCCCTTCAGTGTAGTTGTAAGAATAAAAAAAATCTATAAATATGGTAAATTTGAAATCCAGTAAATATAACATATTTTAAAACAGCCTTCCCTCTTCCGTGGCTCCTCTCTTAGTCTTTTTTTTTTAATTTTTTTACATTTATTTATTTTTGAGAGATAGAGTGAGACAAAGTGAGAGCAAGGGAGGGGCAGAGAGTGAGGGAGACAGAACCCGAAGGAGGCTCCAGGCTCTGAGCTGTCAGCACAGACGTGGGGCTTGAACCCATGAACCGTGAGATCGTGACCTGAGCCGAAGTCAGACACTCAACCTACTGAGCCACCCAGGTGCCCTTCTCTTAGTCTTCTTATTAAAAAACAAAATCCTGGGGCTCCTGGGTGGCTCAGTCGGCTAAGCGTCCGACTTCGGCTCAGGTCACGATCTCATGGTCCGTGAGTTCGAGCCCCGCGTCGGGCTCTGTGCTGACAGCTCAGAGCCTGGAGCCTGCTTTGGATTCTGTGTCTCCCTCTCTCTCTCTGCTCCTCCCCCGTTCATGCTCTGTCTCTCTCTTTCTCAAAAATAAATAAACATTTAAAAAAAAAAAGCATTAAAAAAAATAAAAAATAAAGTAAAAAAAAAATCCTTTCCTTAAACCTGCTCTTCCCCCAAGCTACCTATTATTTTCCCCTTCTACTTCCTTTTTCTTTTAAAGCCACCAACAATTTCAAAGGAGGCACAGGTGAGGATGGCTGACAAGCAAAGGTATCACACAATCTGGGCCTAGGTGGTTGGTTTGGAGGGACTCATTTGCATATGAAAGTGGGCAGTGTAACTGCAAAGGTGGGGAAACAGAGGAAAGACTGTAAGGCACGGGGTGCCTGTGTCATTCCCAGCCCTCACTAGTCGAGTGTCCCGAGGCCCCATCTGTAAAATGGGGACTGTGGGGACAATGATACCCACAGGACTGTGATGAGATTGCAATATATAAGGTCTAGTGTAGAGGAGAGCACATAATAGGTGCTCAATAAATGCTAGTGTCTTTGTTGCATCCCCCTCCGAAACCCTAGCTCTATCTATGGAATAGATGGTTCTCTTTTCTCCCCGATCCCATTCTCAACAGTTTGGGAAACTGTCCACACCAGTCCTCTTATGCCCAGAAGCTGAGTTCAGTAAAACAAACTAACTGAGTTGTGCTAGATGTGCTGGGGGCTGGAGGAAGAAAGAGGAGTGCGGCACTATTCTTGTGCTCTGTGTGTGTGTGTGTGTGTGCTGGGGGTTGTGTTAGAGGGGTGTGTTGGGTGTATGTGTGTCAGGGGTGTTAGGGGTGTGTGTTGGGTGTATGTGTGTTGTGTATATGTGTATTGGGTGTGTGTGTTAGGGGCATGTTTTGCGTGTAATGTGTGTCGGATGTGTGTGTGTGTGGGGGGGTGTTAGGTATATGTGTGTTGTGTGTGTGTGTTTTGGGGGTATGTGTTAGAGGAGTGTGTTTGGTGTAAGTGTATCGGGAGTGTGTGTTAGGGGTGTATGCTGGGAGTATGTGTGTTGGGTGTGTTGGGGGGTGTGTATGTGTGTTGGGGGTGTGTTAGGGGTGTGTGTTGGGTGTATGTGTGCTATGTGTGTGTATGTATGGTGTGTGTGTGTATGTACCTTGCAGGTGTGTCTTAGGGAGTATGTTGGGTGTATGTGTGTTGTGTGTGTGGTGTGTGTGTGTGTGTGTGTGTGTGTGTGTGTGTGTGTGTATGTTGGGGATGTGTGTTGGGAGTATACTAGGTGTATGTGTTGGGCGTGTGTGTTAGTGGGGTATATTGCGTATATGTGTGTTGGGTGTGTGGGGGGGGTTGGGGTGTGTGTTAGGGGGGTGTGTTGGGTGTATTATGTTGGGGTGTGTTTGTGTTGGGAGTGTGTGTTAGGGCAGTGTGTGTGTGTGGGTGTGTGTTTGTGGGGGGCGTCTGTGTGTTGGGGGTGTTAGGGCAGTGTGTGTATGTGTGTGTATTGGGTGTGTGTGGGGGGTGTCTGTGTATTGGTTGTGTGTGTGTGTTGGGGGTGTGTGTTAGGGCACAGTAAACCAATCCCTTCAACTTAGTGCAGAGACTGCACTGATGGGGTGAATGCAAAAGGCTGTGGAAGCACCAAGGAGGAGAATGGAGCTCAGCTGAGAGGTCAGCTGGGAGGAGACACCCCCAGAGGTTCATGAGCACCTGGAGTGTAGGAATTCAGTTGAGCCCAGGCGAGAGAACAGAAGAGAAGGAATTCTGACAGCTAAGCCAGCCAAGCCAGCTTGGGACCACATGGTTCTCCTTGGAGGATCAGAATTCTCAATTCTGGAAGCTTGCATGAGAGTCTTCTCCTGACCTTGCCCCTTGGTTATTTCCTGGTGTTGCTTTTTTAAAACTGTTTCAAATCATCCTAAGGGTAAGTTTGTTTTTCAAAAAATTTCTTATTTTCTTTTGTTAGTTAAAATTATAGGGGAAAGAATTTTCTCCATAACCTAGGGTTTGGGACCTTCAAGGTGTCTATGCCTAGGCCAGATGCAAGGATGATTGGACCCGAGTTAAGACTGGGGCAGCTGACAGAGGTAAAGAGCAGGGACTCAGAGGGGGACAACAGAAGACCAGAACCTTTTTGCCACCCAAACATTTGTCTTCCATGCAGAAAGGCAATCCTTGACCAACTCACCACACCAATGGAGAAATAGTTGTTCATGATGTTGTACGGGACCTGGTCCCCATTCTCCACCTCTTCTCTGGGGCTGACTTCCAGATGCCAGCGGTCTAGCATCACCAAGGGGCTCTGCTCGATGTCCTTCAGGATTTTTGTCAAGCTGCCCCCTTCATAACCTGTGGAGCATGGCATTACATTTGTCTCCAGAGCAAAAAGGCTAAGTTGTTGTTGATGTACAGGCAGCTGTTAGGGCAGGGAACCCTGTGGGCATCTGTGATCAAGAGACCCTCCGCCTGCAACCAGTGTGTCTGGGGGCCAGAGAGAGTTATGTTCCCTGAGCCATGGAAAAGGACAGAACAATAGGGCATAGAAAGAAAATGGGAGATTTGGAAGCCAAAGTAGTCAGGGTAGTGGTGGGAGCTGGCCAAAGTTGGGCAGGCTTATGTAGTTAAAAGAAACCCTAGAGAATTATTGGGCTGGGTGGGAGAACACAGGACAAGAAAGGGTTCATTCCAGGACTTTGTTATGTTGCAGATGGACAGTATGATAGAGTTTTAAGATGGACCCCACTATCCCTGCCTACCCCAGCCCCTAGGTGTATACCCTGCAAAACTCCCAGGACTTATAAATAAGATAGGACAGTCACTGCCATGACTAGGGCTCTTATATGGCACAGTTGACTTTAAGCAAGGGAGATTACCTGAGTGGACCTGGCCTAATCAGCTGAGTCCTTAGAAAGGACTGGGCTGTTCCTTAAGAAATAGATTCAAAGCTTGAGAGGGATTCTCAAGGGAGAATTCTCCGATGCTGGCTTTGAAAATGGAGCAATTCATCTGTCAAGGAAAAAGGAAGCCTCAGGGATGTGATAGTGGTCCCAGCTAACAACCAGCAAGGAAATAGGGACTTCAGTCCTACAGCCAAAAGACTCAATTCTGCCAACAACCTGAATGAGCTTAGCAAACTCTCTGTCCAGAAATTCCAGAGAAGAGCACAGCCTGTCCAACACCCTCATTTCAGGCTGGGAGGCCCTGAGCAGAGAACCCAGTCACACTGTCACAGGCCTTCTGACTGACAGGACCATGAGCTGACAAATGGCTGTTTTAAGCCTCTATATTTATGATAATTTTTATGCAATAGCAAAGTCGTATAGAAAGAGAATTGTAAGTCATGAGAGGTTAGTGGGAGAGTCAGTCTTTCCTTTCAGATAACACTTCTGTGTTCCTGCTTACTACCTTCAGGGCAACCTTGAAGAGTATTTCCACGTTGCTAGTTTGGTCAGCTCCCTAGGGATGCCTCACAAGATAGCAATGGTAGTCACCATGTAGTTAAGGGCCTGGGGGCTCTCTGGGAGCACAGGGCTGTGCTTACTGCATGAAATTTGTGCTGAGCTATGCTGCCTAGATGCACAGAGCATGGGGCTATATTCTGCTTCCTCCCCTGGAACAGAGGGCTCTTCCCTCGCCTCAGTGTGTGGCTGAAGACATCAGTTCCTGCCGACTTCCTTTTGGGCTGGCTCCTGCTTGATCTACCCCTGCCACCAGGCATATACCCAGCTCCGAACACTGACCGCTGCCTGGCCTGGCTTTGAATTCTCTCTGAACGCATCAGCCATCTGGAATCCCACCCCAGTTCTGCCTGCCAGACTGCTCGGTCCCTTCCATGTGCTGCCCTGGCCTCTCTGTTCTCTGGAGCATTCCCAGATCCATGGGTTCTGTTGCAGTTTACAGAGTTCTCTGTAGCTCTTGCCTCTTGTCCCATAAGCTGGTCACTAGTTTGAGATCCCCCACAGGGGGATTTCAAAAGGAGCGCCAATGGACGTGGAGCCTATGATGATCTGGATGCCCCTGGTAGCTGGCAATGTAGCTTTTCAGTTTGCATTCTGAATCCTAGTTCAGAAGAATAGCAATAATTTGCAGAGGAGGGAATTTTATTCAGAAAATGCCTAAGTGTGCCCCTACTCAAGCGAGTACTGTGGGGGGAGATAGAGGAGACTACCCTAAAGCCAAGTATGTCCTGCCAGGGTAGGCAGGCTCTTTGCTGATAGTTTCAGGGAGATAGTAGACATATTGAGGGGTAAATGCAGATCTCGGCAGGATGCGGAAGGCAAGGGAATGGTCATGGAGTAGATATGACTCTGTGGAATGTAATTATTAAAAGGGAAGTTGAGCCTAGCTCTGCAGAGCATCCCTTGAAATTGGAGTGCTTGTCCCCAGGGTAGTGCCACCTGCATGCACACTCACCTCCTCCCCAGCGGAGACAGCGGGCCAGGTCATTTCCTGTTCCAAGAGGCAGGACAGCCACCGGTGGATGCTTTGCGAAGTTGGCCTTATCTGCAGCCCATGCAGAGGAAGAGAAAATCATATGCCACTGGATTACAGAAACTTTGGGTTATCTATCCTTGATCTTATGCTTCAACCCTTCCATAGCATTCTTTGCTTGAATAGCTCCATGATGGAGAGAGAACACACTACCTCTTAAAGCTGTCTCTTCCATCTGCAGCGTGTGAACCACTACTAAGGATTCTTTCATATTGAGCTGACGGTCTCCGTGTAACTTGCACCTGCTTATCCTCATTTCATCCAAATGCTGTCCTTTGGGGTGACAGCATACACCTTGAAAACAGTAGTTCCGTAATCATAATGAACACTTTCTCCATTTATCCCTCAGACAAACTCTGCAAGGTATTATTATTCTCCTCATAGATGAAGAAGCTGAGGTTCAGAGGGGGAAAGTAAGTCCAGAGTCAGGATCCAAATCCAGATCTCTGTGCTCCCAAGCCCAGTCCTCTCCTTGCTTCAGGGGCTAGGCAGGTGCATGGGCAGTAGAACAGCTGAGTCTGAGAAATCAGGGAATAGTGGGGCCTTTTGGAAACTGAAGCTGCCTCAGGTAAAGTCACGCAGGTTCAAAGTTTAAAAATAATATTGCGTCTGACAAACAAAACCTCAAGGTGTCATTTGGCACCCAGGTACCAGTTTGTCACTTCCGCCCACCCTACCCCAGACTTGCAAATACACAATTCCTAACCTTATCTCCCATGCTGGTTGTGAGGGAGCATCAGACTGAAACATCAGAGAAAACACAGCAGAACACGTGTGGTCTAATCTGGCTGCGGGTCTACAGCAATATGTTGGCCACCCTGAGAAAGCTGGAGCAGGCACGGGCACCCACTGGGCTCCAGGGGGCGCCACTGACATAAACTGCAGCACGCTTTGGGGCCTGGGGATGTGAGTAACGCTGATTGAGGAGTGTGGGTGGGGGGAGGGGTGATGCAGGAATCAGCAAGTGAGGCTAATACTAGGGCTGTCCCAGCAAAAGGGGAGTTCATAGGTCCCCCGGGTTCTCTGACTTATGCCGGAAATGGCGGAGCTCAGGCAAGACCTGGGGCTGAGATCATCACCAGGAGGTGTAAGTTGGGGGACAGAGCAAAGCGATGGACTCTGCCATGGTTCCCAGAACACACGGTCTGCATTTATGCCTCCCTGCCTTTGTACAAGCTGTGCCTTTTACTTGGAAGGCCCTTGTTTCCTTATGTCTGCTCCTTCTGTGGTCCCCATCTTCATGCATTGAGGCTAGAAACCCAGATGTCATCCGAGGTTTTTCCCTCTTCCTCACCCTGCTCAGTTTCCACATGCTCTTTCCTTAATAGATCTGTCCACCGTCTCTTCTAGCTATTCCTATGGCGATGCCTGAGCTCCCCGACGTGATTCCTTCCTCCTGGTCTTGAAGCAACTGCCTCCTCTCTGCCTTCCCAGCCTCAGTTCCCCCAGTGGCTCTCCACACCTTCAAGGCAGGCTGTCCCTGAGCTGGAGCCTGAGCACTGCAGTCCCCTGCTCTCTGCTTTCCCTCTGTCGTGGCTGCTCCCATCATCTCCAACATGGTACTGGGGTCTGCCTTCCACTCTGGCCTCCTCCTGCTTGACATGTCAACCATGCTTAAGTTTTTCAGTGCCTTAAGTCATAGGCTCTCTGTTGCTTAGGTGCTGCCTCTGGGAGACCCTCCCTGCTTGCCCTAGTCTGGGCTAGGTGCCTCACCAGGAACAATCTCCCAATTGACTCTTGTAATTGACTACTCACTTGTTGCCTCAATGTGCTGTATCCTCCCTGGGGGAACTATATCTCATCCACCACAGTATCTCTGCATACATTACAGAAGGCCTACTATGTACTGGTGCTGTGTTGGGTGCTATGACTCTAATAGTGGGTCAAAGTGCCAAGACACAGGCTGTCATGATGCTTACAGTTGAGAGGGAGAGACAGATATTAATGAGGTCTTCATCTAAATGAGGCATAATTTCACACTTATACTGGAAAGGGAAAACGTGTGATCATATAATAAGGTGACTGAGGTTGGATCCTCTGAGGAAGCTACACTTTGGCTGAGATCTGAAGTAGAAGTTGACCAAGGAATGGCCAGGGAGCATACCAGACAGGAGGAACCACTTGTGCAAAGGCCCTGTGGTAGAAGGGAGACTGGTATATTCAAGGGTCCGAGGGAGGGACTGAGTGGCTGGAGTCCAGAGAGAGAAGAATGGAGGTAGGAAGTAAGGCTGGAAGTAAGCAGCTGCTGCAGCACGAGGACCTTATAGACCATTTGAAAGGTTTTTGTCCTTATCCTAAGAGTACTGGGAAGACACTGATGTGCTTTACACACATCATGAACCCACGGACATTCAGGAAAGGCCACTCTGGCTATAGAGTGAGTATAAACAGATCAATGGGAGGACCAACACGGGGTGGCAGAAGGCACTAAATAAGTAATTTAACATTCCTGAATGAATGAATGAATGAATGAGCATCATGCAGTTATTCCTTCCATGACTGTTTCTTCTCTTCAGGTTGCCAGCCTGTTACATGACCTTTCTTCTTCCAGTTTTGGGCAGAGACTTTCCCCCGTGTTCTCTGGAATAGCTATCTCATAGGAATAGCTACAAGAGACGGTGATGAGATGGTGAAGAGATGGTGAAGTGAGATGAATTGTATAAAGTCACCAAAGCCTACATTCTCCTTCGTGATGGAGAGGGAACCGTGTGCGCGGCTCCCAGGACTGTGGCCATCCACCCTTTGCTGATCAGCTTTTCCTTCCTCGGCTCCCAGAGGAAGGGAGGATGCCTCCCCACTCCCACAAACAACTCCAGAGCCGGAGGTGACAGGAGAGCGTGGGTGCCTGTTTCGCAGGGTTGTATCCATGGTAACTGAAGTGCCTGTGGGGAGCCGGGTGTGGTCCCACCCTTCCTGGTGGTCTGCTTACGACCCCCAGAGGCACAGCCTTCCTTGCCCCAGTCAGGGTCGGTAGATGGGTACATGCCCATCCCTGACTCCTCTCTTCCTCTCATCCTGATGGCTCCATCTTCCAATGCTATCCAGAAGCCAGCCGACCACTCCTCATCACTTCCTCTGTGTCTCCTGTTGTCCAAGCCTTGGTCACTTCTCACTTGGGTTGCTTCAGGTGCCTCCTGCAGGTCTCCCTGCTTCTGCCCTTTTCTCACGACCCGCTGTGTACTTTTGCTCGAAACCGTCCAGCATCTTGGGACATTTCTGGCATGAAAGCCATATTCTGTTTACTGCCCTACACGTCCTAGTGACCTGGCCCTGTGCTAGCCCAGCTTCATCCTCTGCCATTCTTCCCTCACACGCTCCGTTCCAAGCACGCTCTGCAGTCCTGCTGCCTTCAGCAGCCTGGCTTTGCTCCTACCTCAGGGCCTTTGTATTTGCTGTTCCTCCTGCACAGACTGCTATTTCCTCAAGTATCCGCATGGCTCACCTCTCCTCCAGGTTTCCATGCAAACATCGTCTGCTATGTGATGTCTTCCCCAAACACTCAGTCTTAGATCGTAGACCACCCCCAACCTTACCCCTGCTGGGCTCCTTGCCCCATCCCTGCTGTGTTTTTACCACCTTCCGCATGTTGTATGTTTCTCTTGTGTTTTGGTTTTTGTTTGTTTGTTTGCTTGCTTATTGCCTGTCTCTTCCGTCTAGAAAGGAAGCTCCGCAAGGGTGGGATTTCCATCTGTTTGTTCACTGTTGCATCTCCAGGGCCTGGACAGAGCATGGTACATGGAGGTGCATAGGCAGTATTTGTGGAAGGAGTGACAGACAATTCCAGAGTTAGCCCCCATCATCTGCAGAGGATGAGATGTCCACGGACCCACAGATCCAGGCAGAGCTGGACTGAAACCCAGGCCTCCTGATTCCCAGCCTGGGCCCTCCCCACTGCCCTTCTAATCTCAGCATATTGGACACAGCCCAGCATGACCTTTCTTTGCTTGTACTGATCTGCACTTTCTAGACATGCTTTCTGGACTCAGGCTGCACGTGCTCAGCTCAAGGTGATTTGGCCAGGCTACACACCTATGCTTAATTCTCTGGCCTTTATCCACTAACCCGGGTCTGCTTGGAGACCTGGTCCTGCCCTCCCTCTCCCCCTACCAGCTCCCCAATTTGGCCTGTCCTACCACCGTCCAAAGCCCAGCCATGTTTATGAGGCAAGACCTGAAACTAAACAGTTAATCTGTACCTGTCCTTCCATTTCTTTTTTTCACCCAAGGTAGATACAATGGTCAAGCACTGTAGTCAAGCAATGGCCCAAGAGTGGAAACAAGGATGAACCAGACATGGCTCCATTTCTCTTTCCTGTGTATTACCTTCCTCTGACTTTAAACATGCCTACAATAAATAAACTCTAAAGCCCCTCCCAGCCCCTTCTTACCAATGCAATCCAGAATCCAGCCAACTGTCCCATCTCCTCCACAGGCTAAAACACGGAAGTCTGGAGTATCACGGAAAAAGTTCAACCTGGGAAGTAAAAGGCCAAAGCAGTCTTATTTACTAGGTTGCGGTGGACATTTGACACTGCTTGAGTCAGGGTCTCCCCTGTTCCCTGGGAGTACGTTACGGCCCTGATTCCTTTTGGGGTTGAAAGGGTCACTTAGCATTCTAAAACCAGAACTTACAAGGGAAGCAGTACCACTAGAGTATAGAGAAGAATCCTGGGGAGCCGTCCTTGTATAAGGAGAATGTGACTCAACATTCCACACGAACAAATTGGTTTTCTAGAAATTCTTTACTATTTGTGCAGAGGCAGCCATAGTTTGCTTATTTGGGCACCAATACAACCGACCCGCAACGTCTGGACTCCTCTCTGGCTTTCCTGCCTGTTCTGTCCTCACAAACTGTCCTCTAATTCAGGTGCCCTGAACTAGTGGATATTCAGCCCACTGTCCTGAGGGCCCAGACCCAAGGGGAGTGAGCACCATCCCTCCGAGGCCTTCACCTTTTAGAGTAGAGCTCTTTTTTTTTTTTATGTTAGTTTATTTTTGAGAGAGAGGGAAAGTGCAAGGGAGGGGCAAAGAGAGAAGGAACCAGAGGATCCAAAGCGGGCCCTGTGCTGTCAGCAGAGCCCGATATGGGGCTTGCACTCACAAACCATGAGATCATGACCTGAGCCAAAGTTGGACGCTTAACCGACTGAGCCACCCGGGCGCCCCTAGAGCAGGGCTCTTTACCTGGGGCCCAGAAACTTCTAAGAGGTCTATAGATAGAAACCAGAGTGCCACGCACATGGAGGAGAAAATGTTACACTCTTACCTTTCCTAAGCCCTGAGATTTAGCCTCTCCTTCAATTATGAAAGTGGGCAACAAATCACACAGGTATTAACACTACCTGCGACTTTGTTAGAAAGTCAAAACCACAGGTATGGGGCGCCTGGGTGGCGCAGTCGGTTAAGCGTCCGACTTCAGCCAGGTCACGATCTCGCGGTCCGTGAGTTCGAGCCCCGCGTCGGGCTCTGGGCTGATGGCTCAGAGCCTGGAGCCTGTTTCCGATTCTGTGTCTCCCTCTCTCTCTGCCCCTCCCCCGTTCATGCTCTGTCTCTCTCTGTCCCAAAAATAAATAAAAAAACGTTGGAAAAAAAAAAAAAAAAAAAAAAAAAAAAAAAACCACAGGTATTTTAATGTTTTATCACAGTTGTGGCAGCTGCCCCCTACTATCACTTATGCTCATCTCTGCTTTTAATTAATAATAGTTATTAGACCGGTCTCTGGATCTTGCCAAAAATGTGTTAGTAAATCGCATATGTTCCCATGTCACATACTTGTGTTTTTAATAATTTTGATGACTGTCTTTTCAGTAGCATTAGTGTCCCTGGCAATGCTCTACGTTTCATTTTATACCCTAACAAGTATTCGGAGAAGAGGTCCATTGGCTTCATCAAACTGCCAGATGGGTTTCTGGCACAAAAAGGCACAAAACCTTTGCTTTAGAACAAGTGTCACCTGTGAACACACCGGGGTGGGACTCGGGAACTGAAGCTCAGATGTTCCCCTTTTGCCCGGCCTGGCGGTCTGAAAAGACCCCTGGCTTTCTGAGTCACTGATGCGTCTGTGGGCGAATCAACATTTCCTCCCCTCCCCATCCCTTGCAGAACTCTGCTCTCCTTTAGGAAGCGAATTCTGGACGGAGGCTCCTTGCAGTTAAACAGCCTGCCTGGTGACAGACTGACCCAGCAAAGACACTCAGGGCACAGCAGCCCTGGAAGTAGCCACCGGGTTTGTCATGAGGGGCAAAAGCAATTTAGGGTGGATGAGGTGAAGCTAGAGTACTGCATTCAAGCATCACAATGCCCTAAAAGAGAGGGGGCTGGTAAAGGTACTTGCAGGCTGCCCTTCAGTCACAGATCAGTAACTGCAATCGCAGTGACTATGATGGCACCCAGGGCAGCATAGGTGGGCCCTGTTTTGCAATTAGTTTTGCAGGTAAGTCATGGCTGACGTGCTGCACTCGCATTCATGTTACTTTCCCTCTTTTAACTGGGTATTGCCCCATCACAGCCATATAAATAACAGCTTTGTGGCAAACAACTGAAGACAGGGACACAGTCCCTTTTTATAGTCCCTCCCCGCCCCCACCCACTGTGGGTCTTGCCGAACTGAGTGGAAATGCAGGTTAGGAGGCTGGGCAAAGCAGCTGTCTTCTGGGAAGCCCAGCCTGGCCTGTACAGATCTGAGCACCTGGCATGGAGACAGGCTTGGGCTGGCCAGCAGATGTCTCTAGCGCACCAGCTCTGTCTGGGAAGAAGCCCTGTCTGGGTGCCTTCCAGCCCCAGGCCGGAGGGGCCTCTGATTACAGGGACCGCAGCCATCACATCCGTGCTGACACTAGGCCCGGCTCCTCCCACCAGAGCTGCACTCAGGCTGCCTGCCTCCTCTTATCACTCTCCCGCTCTGCTGGGCAGTGAAACAGCCAAGAGACACATTGCGGGAGAAGGGCCAGGGGCAGCTTAACAACCTCTAAACTGGATAATCCTGGAAAAAAGTGATTTCACTGAATAACTAATTGCCCTGATCCTAAAATGCTCCCCCAACAGAACTTGCAGCAGAACTCTGAGTCAGCAGTATGGATTTCTGAGCTGCTGACAGTGACAGGAAAACTCTTTCGCCCTCCCTGATGACTCAGTATGAAGACACCAGCTAACACAGCCTTGCAGATAAGTTAACATAATTCACCAGCCCGCTCTTTCTGTCAATCAAATGAATGGCATATGTGCTTTTTTCTCTTTTACAGAAACAACAACTTTTCCCGGGGTGGAGTAAAAGGAGGTGACTTCCCAGACTTAGCCATAAGGGGTGTTCCTGAGTATCTCCAGGAGCAAGTAAGAGTAGATGGAGGAAAAGAAGATGAAAAGGGTAACATGGCAGGAAGGATAAGTCCACAGATGAAAGAGACACGAAGGGTGACCAAAGATAGGTATCTTCTTCAGAAATGAAGGGTGGAGGAGGAGAGATAAGAAGATTGCTTCTCCATACCCTGGAGTGGGCCCCCCATTGTCCAGGTTGAAAACTTGTTTGGGGTTGAGCAGATAGTGGAATTTCCGAAGGATTCTATGGAAAAAAAAAAAGAAAGAGGGAGAGAAAGAGAAACAGAGAAGAAGAATGTCATTGTGAGAAGTCACAGTAGGGCAAACACCTCTGGAGCCCACCCGTGGTGGGAATCTGGGTCCACTTAAACCCAAGAGGGGAGAAGACTGCATACAGGCCCTGCAGACCCTGAAGTCCCAGGTCCAGCCAGCATCATCCACATTCTCACGCCTTGGCTCAAGGCCTCTCCGCCACGCAAGATCGTAGCATTCAACCCCGGACCTCTTGCCGAGAATAAAACCTCTGTTCTTCTTAAAGCTTTATCCTTCTCCCAAACATTCTGGATGTTCTAGGTAGTGTGATTCTGCTCTTTGTGGACTACACAGGGGTATCAAGGAGCTCTCTATGGAAAGCTCCCCCAAATCTTTGGATCAGGAGGACATGCAGGAGGTGGGGCTGGGCAGGGAAAGGCTGGGGGCAGGGGCAGTGACCACCTCTGGGCTGGGTGTCAAGGCTGCAGCGAATCAGGTCAGCTCAGCAGGTGTCTTGCTCCTTGGACTAGGTAGGGGTTCTCGCAGTTCTTGCTTCAACCCTACTTATTGTTTTTGTAAACCTGGATTCCAGATCACTGCATTGTCTGTCCATCATCTTGAGCTGAACAGGACAGGGCGGCAGAGCTGCCTCGCCCCTTTTCCCTCTCTCCTCTCACTCCCTTAGTGCTTCTGGGAGACTGGACATTTTCTTCACTGATGAGGTGGTGCCCTGTTTTCTCAGGAGATGGACAGGCCAGGAGGTCCCAGTCAAGGGAGTCCCGCCACACCTCTTAAATCAAGAAAGGACCTGGGAGGCTGAGAAGGAAACAGGCGTCTCAGAACTTGGTCCGACCCTGGGAGCCATGGTAATGGCTGTGATGGGCCCTCGGCCAAGCATATGTCTACTTTAATCCTCACAACGCAGCTATGACAGGAGAAATTATTATCTCCAATTACAGAGGAGGGAACCAAGGCACAGGGATGTTAAGCAGTCAGTTGAACCAGGTCATAAAGTGGTAAGTGGTAGGGCTGGGACTGAAACCCAGATCTGGCGGTCTCTGCAGTCCACCCTGTTGAGGGGAAGAAAAACCCTGAGTGAGGTGGTCTCAGCCTCTCCATTTTGAAAAAGAAGAGAACATACCTTTCTCCTTGTCTCCCTCCACTCTTGGGGTTCACCAAGACCAGCAGGGGGTGGGTACCCGGGGTGGGGATGATCTTATACTTAAAAGGTAAAAGAAAAAGAAATTAGCTCTTTTTCAGCCAGTAGGATGAATGAGAGGAGAGTTGACACTAAGATGGCTTCCAGGAAAGGTGGATGGGAAGCACTTCCAGCATGGAGGAGAGGTAGTTGGGAGGTAGGTCTTTGTCCACTGGCTGAGTTTTCTGAGGGGTGAAGCAGTTAAGTGTCTTTGACTCGAGTAGCCTTGAGTAGTGTTAATGGCGACAAGAGTTTGAGGCTCGGATCAGAGATGTGGCAATGGCACTGTAACTTCAGATCACTGAACGATGATATGGTATTGTGGCTATAAACACAAGATGATATATATTTTTTAATTTATTTTTTAAGTAGGCTCTATGCCTAATGTGGGGCTTGAAATCACAACCCTGAGATCAAGAGTCTCACACTTCACTGACTGAGCCAGCCAGGCGCCCTACAAGCACAAGATTATATTTTGTGATGGATACAACTGAATATAATTTTAGAAGTTGTGGTCCTCTGGTCCTATATATCAATCAAATAACACTCATGAAGTTAACCATCATTTCCACCAGCACCTTCCAAATCCACATTTCCAGCCCCAGTTTTCCTCTTGAGCCCTAGTTCTACATTTCCTACTGTCCAATGGGTACCTTCAACCAAATGTCTCACCATCACTGCAAACTCACATGCCGGAACCTGACCTATCTTCCTTCCCCACAGAACTAGTCCTCTCTCCTGGCTCACTGTTTCTCTTAAACATACTATTATCATTAATCTAGTCATCTAGGGAAGACCCTGCCCTGCCAATTATTTCCCTGGCTGTCCTTTTATCTCTGGCAGCTGCCATGGTACCCACCCAGCCCAGACCTTTCCCATCTCAGGTAAGTCCCATATGTGGTTTCCTTCCTGGGGCATCAGTCATGCCACTCCTGCTCGGAAACCTTTAATGACACCTTGTTTCCCAGAGGATATAATCCAAATTTCCCAACCCGGCATCCAAGACATTTCAGCATAGCCCCAATCTACTGTTGCCCCCTATAACCCTCAGCTGTGTCCCAGCCAAGCCTGGCTTTTATCCTCGAGTGAGTGTATCTCCTGACTTCCCACTCTGTGGGGCTGCTCACTCTGGTTTCTCCTCCTCCTTGGTGTCCCGAAGAGCCCACTTCCTTCTTAAAAAGAACTTTTCATTCTCGGGGCCCAATTCAAGAGCTACTTCCTCTATGAAGCTTTCCTCGATCATTGCAACTGAAACCATTGCACTTGAAGTATGTAGTATCATCTGGGCTTCTCTTATTGCCCATTCACATGGGTTTTGTTTCATGTTTTCTTAGGTAAATGTCTCAAAATATCAACTGGATTTGAAATGTCTCAGGAGCAGGGTGTGTGTGTGTATAACCCTCCCACCAAGGTCCCCATGACACCAGATATGGGAATGGGTACTTAATAAATGTTTGTGGATTCAGCTGAAGGACAGACTGATATGGAGAGGTAGCCATATTCCATATTCAATGTGTGATGTCTACTTTTCCAGATCTCAGGCTAAAATTTCAGCAAACACAGCACCATGTTGTTTCAAATGGACAGTAGCATTCTTAGGATTTTTAAGAATCTTATCATCTGCCTAGGTGACTGTGTGATACCCAGAAGCATCTTGGAGCCTGAGGAGTAATTCTTTACCTCCGGGGATGATATTCAAAATACTTAACAACTTGTACAGCATGGGCATTCCCAATCAAAGCAGATGCAGGGTAACGAGATGGACGCCAGCTGTAAACAACTGGCTCACCTGCATTGTGTGTGTGTGTGTGTGTGTGTGTGTGTGTGTGCGCGCGCGCACGTGTGTGTGCACTCCAGCTGCCTTTCTGCCTTTCTAGGCATCTACAGCTCTCCCATTTATTAGTTTCTCCATCATTATTGTTTATCTTTTAATTTTTAAGACACATGAATCTGCATGTTCTCATTTAATCTTAGAGCATCTCTAGGAGGTGGGCAGTGCAGGGATTGCTACGCCCCTCCCTTTTCAAGGATAAAGAAGATCTTCTGAATCTGGTTAACTTTGTCTTGGCAGATCACATTCTAGACACGGCTTGAAAGTCTTGGAAAACCCACTGTATATTTCTTGGTCCACACTGCTGTTAGTATTGAGGTGTGCATATTGAAGTTTTATGTAACTTTTTCCTAAAAGGGTGATAAAATTTATTTGACCAGCAGTAGGATCAACCAACCTCCCCTTTTCACCACTTGCCAACAGTATGGTACTCAAAGATATTTACAGAAGCTGGAAATAAAGTGTCCTCCTGTGTGATGTAATAGATCAGATGAGAAAGCAAATGTTGAGATATATTTCTCTAGAATGCAAACCCTGTCCTCCCTCATCTCCCCAACAGCCTTGAACCCACTCAGAATGAGAGATGGGACTTGAGGCTTGTGGAGGTACCTGCATCACAAGTTCACCCTTGGCTGACACGCTGCCATCAGACTTCCCACCTTGCCTGTCCTGTGATGAGAGGAAAGACAAACACATTTTGAAAAAAAAAAAGTCAAATATAAAAAAAAAAAGTGATGAGAAGAAAAACAAATAGTTAATATAAAGAGAGAATACAAAACCAATATAGAGTAGGGAGGAGTTTTTCAAAACAGGGTTTTGGATCGAAAAAAAAGAAATGCTTCCCTACGGGATTCTCTAAGACTCCCCAGGCCTCTATCATCGTTTGTTCTGACTTTAACTTCAAAACACTGGAACAGACCTAGGGAGAAGAAACGCTGAAATTGGCAGAAATCTACTTTGTTGATTTAGACGCTTGAGCTCTGGGAAGCAAGGTCTTAGATCTGGCTTCTCTGCTCAGCACTATCTAACTGATGTGATACTGAAGTAAGTTGTTTTGCTTAGTTTTGTATATCCTGTTTTTTTTGTTTTCTTCAGTGTTTATTATTTATTTTATGGAGGTTTATTTCGTATGATATAGTAAAATGTTCCAATCTAAATCTCCGGCTTGATGAATTTCTGCATTCATACATGCCTTGATAACTACTGCCTCTTCAGGCATCACTCCTGCCTTTTAAATTTCATAAATGAAATCCTAGGGAGTGTCTTTTTTTGAGACTAGCCTCTTTTGTTCAGCATTGTATCTTTGAGATTATCCATGTTTTTGCAGCTCAGCAGAGCTCTTCCCCACTGCAATGCAGTATTCCATTACACCGATATGCCTCAAACCCCTCTGTCAGCAGTCATTTAGATGGTTTCTAGTTTTTGACTGTTACGAACAAAACCAATATGAACATTCTTGTGCAGGTCTTTTGGTGGAATAAATGCTCATCTTCCGTTCTTCCTCCCTCCCTTTCTTTGAGCAAGTGGTGCAATTGGGTGGAGGAAGGGCAGAAGAGGGAGAGAGAATCCCGGGCAGGCTCCACAACCAGCACCGAGCCTGACCAGGGGCTTGATCTCATGACCATGAGATCATGATCTGAGCCAAAATCAAGAGTGGACGCTTAACTGACTGAGCCACCTAGGTGCCCCCAAATGCGCACATTTCTCAGGCAGATACACAGGAGGACGTGTTGGGTCACAGAGTTTGTGTATTTCCAACCTACAAGATACTGCCAACTGGTTTTCCAAAGTGGTGTTTTTCCTTCAGCCTTTTAATGAAAAAGGAGTAGCAAGTCAAGTCAGGGATGAAATATGAGGGATCGGTGAGCCTCGGCAACATCTTCAAGACAGAAGGGGACAGTTAAGGTGTTTGGGGTTTGGTTTAGAAAGAGGAGTCTTCGGGGCGCCTGGGTGGCGCAGTCGGTGAAGCATCCGACTTCAGCCAGGTCACGATCTCGCGGTCCGTGAGTTCGAGCCCCGCGTCAGGCTCTGGGCTGATGGCTCAGAGCCTGGAGCCTGTTTCCGATTCTGTGTCTCCCTCTCTTTCTGCCCCTCCCCCGTTCATGCTCTGTCTCTCTCTGTCCCAAAAATAAATAAACGTTGAAAAAAAAAATTAAAAAAAAAAAAAAAAGAAAGAGGAGTCTTCAACATAAGAGACAAAGTTTCAGATGGAGATAAATGGACTTAAATTTTCCTGCTTTCATCTCCAAACAGGGTTGGGCCCCCCAAGTAGGAATCCTCAAGGCAGAGGAATTTCCATGTTTAGACATAAGAAACAGGCTGACAGGGGGACCCAGGAGGCCTCGCCATGTGCAGGTGGTGGCAGAAAGTCCTATAACTGTGCTCTGCTGGAAAGGTGCTTAGAATGCATGTGCTTCCCTTGATGGGCCATTTCAGAGCATTCTAGGTGGCCAACTTGCTTGGAACCAGTCAGAGGAGTTTTCTCTCACAATCTGATGAGTGTGGCAATGACCTTTCAAACTTGTAGTGAAAACACAAACCCTAGGAGTTGCGAGGAAGCCCTCGGAGGGATGCGACCCGCCTGAATGCCACCTACATCTGAAATGTGAACCCAGAGAAACCTGCTGGGGCAGCAACACTTACCCGGGTGACAGGGCATATTGAAGTGGGCAGCAAAATATGGTCTCTCAGTTCCCCACCATCACACAACGTTGATAATTCACATTTGCGGTGAAACTAGAGGGGACAATGAAGATGAGAGTGAATGAAAGTGATCAAGGAAATGTCAAGGGTGAGGGTTCAGAGGTTTGCTGGGGAGGCAGTTATGCAACACTCCCCCAAATCCTTATGCACTGCTGGCTTTGGCAGTATAGGTGTGTGTGTGTGTGTGTGTGTGTGTGTGTGTGTGTGTGTGTGTGTGTGTGTGTGGTGTGGTGTGGCCAGGGGTGCCAAGCTGGCTACAGGCAGAGAAAGAAGACCAAGTGTTATACACGACTGCTGGAGTGAAACGGTCATGGGCAGGCCTGTGACCCTTCAGCAGGGCACCACTGTGTGGATTTCAGAACCCCCCTTGGACATTTGCTCCCCAGGCTCTGAGACTCTGTAAGGAAGGAGATCTTACTGAACAAACTCCCAGGAGCCTGGAAGTAAAACCCAAGATTCAACCTGTGTATTTTAAGAGATCTGCAGTCTGGTTTGGAGGCACATCCTTTTTGAGGCTGATACCTGGTGAAGGGGACAAGACATGGCACAGAGTTTGCTTTGGCGGGCAGGTCGGGCAGCTTGGGCAGCTCCAGGTGTTCAGAAGTTTGCGGACAATTGTGACCGGCAGAAGCAGGTGCAGGACCGTGGCCCCAGCAGTGGGGCTGCTGTAAGGAGTGTGCCATTCTCTGATGTCTTGAGGAGCAGGGGCTCTGCTGTCTCATTCCACCCCTACTCTGTGCTCCCAGCCCCAGATGACACCCAGAGGAAAATGTTAATGGTCTGGCTTGCTGCTCACAGCTGCCTGCTTCTTCCTAAGCAGCTTTCGCTTCCCTGGTTCTGGGGTTGGCCTCTCTCTGGGAAGCTTGGTGATTCACTGGAGGCACTGTTAGAGCATTGAACGGGGGCTCTGGGCCCCCCAGTCTTGCTCCCCTAGCTCTGCTCATGCCCTCTGGCGGGATGTCCACTGCTCCCTGGCCGCGGCTTGAGCAAAAACACACTGGAAAGAAACAGGGCCACCCTGCTCGCCAACCCACCGTCATCCGGCACCACACGCAGTGCCGCGCGGTGACGCTCTGGTAGCACTTGATACTTTTGTGGCACCGGTCACACTTGACAGAAGAGTTCCCTTCCACCCACGCGTGCTGCATCACCTGCAGGAGGGAAGGGAAGGATACCAGGGAAGGCTGCAGAGCCACATCCCTGGGCCCTGAGCCTGAGGAGAAGGGTCTGGGAGGAGTGGGGACAGGGCGGAGGGGTTGCTTTCCCTTCAGTGGATGCACTTAGTGGATATGGGGCTGCTCTGCTGAAGTGCACTGACGTGGTCCCTCCCTGCCTAACCACCATCATCCTAATCAAAGTAGACAAAAAGCACCTGGCCTGCACTTTGAATAGCTCATTCACCCTGGTAGGCTAGCCTCTGAGCAGCATCCTGTCTGGCAGTCCATCTGTCTGTCTTGCAGAATGGTCTGCAAGTGTGATGTGCTTGTGCGCGCCCTCTTCTGGAAGGCAGTGTGATGCAGGGACGCGTGAAAGGGCTTGGGCTGCAGACAGAACTGGTTGGAGTCACCGATCTTCCACTTTGCAGCCAGGTGACCTTGGGCCAGTTCCTGTACCTCTCTGAGTCTCAGGACCCTCATCTGTAGAATTTGGCATGATAAGCCCACCTCTGGGTTTGCTGGGAGCATTTAAAAAGATAGCACACTTGGAAGAGTCTCTCTGACACAATTCTGGCCCTTTGGAGGTGTTCAGTGAAGGATAAGACTCCCTTCCCCCTCCAGTCTTCTATAAGCCAGTGGCTCTCAGCTCATTAGAACCACCTGGGAGCTTCTAGAAGTCCTACTTACCCGCCCTCACTCCAGACCAAATCAATCAGAGTCTCTGAAGACCGGATTCATCAGTTTATTTTAAAGCACCCTGAATGATTATGAATAATGTGCAGCTAAGGTTGAGAAGCACTCTAGAAGGAAGTTAGAGAAAAGTCCAAAGAAATTAGTGTGGTTCAGCAGCCAGCAGCCTGCACATCTGTTTCCTGGACAGCTGGCTGTACCTGCACGCTGACCAGGAAATGCCACTAGGTCAACCCAGGAATATGGGAAGCAGGCGGGAAAAATACCTGTTTGTGTGTGGATGTAAGTGGAGCCACAGTAGCCTATGACACCAGATTCTGGGAGCCTAAGCCCTCAGTTATCTCTGTCCAGCATTTCTACAGAGCTTCTCAAAATTGTCCTCGAGGGCACTCCAAACAGCAGATGTGGCCTCTGGAGGAATGTGAGGGCATAGCCTGAAGTGCCAACTACAAACAATATTAAAAACACAAGGCGTACCTGCATGATACCATCCATATCTGCACTAAATAAAAATTTTAAATTCCTTATCAATTAAGTTACTACATCCTCCCCCCCCCGCCAAAGGTTTTTGGTAAAATTGTTGCTCTAGAAGCTATGTCATGTTTATTCTATAGCCTCTCACCTGCCACTGTGTACCCCTGAAGGTATAAAGAACCCAGTTTGCTAATCAATTTGTCATCTATCTGGTCACACTGAATTTTCTCTAAGAGTCCTATGATCTCCATTTTGGAGAGAAACATATGAGGCTTCAGAGAGGTTAAGCGACTGGCCTTAGGTTCCAAGGCTGGTAAGTGGCCAAGTAGGGACTCACGGCCAGGTCTTCTGACTCCAAGCCCACGGCTGTGTCCTATCACTATGCTGCCTTCTCCATCCTCTGCTGGGATCAGAAGAGTTAGCAATTTGGGTTGCCCTAGAGACTCAGGAGTTTGTGACTATGCCCTACTGGCCCATCAGGGGCCTCCCTCTGTTTCGTATGTGGCAAGTGGCCAGAGTGTAGGCGTAGGGCATGAGCCCAGGAGGTACACAGTGCATCCTGGTGAAAGGTATGAACATGAAAAGGGGGTGGTGTATGGAGTAGACAAGAGACCATGCGGTGTCTCATGGGGCATGCATGTGTATCCTGGAGGTGCCCTTCTCTCTCCCGAGTCCTTTTGTGGAGGGCTGGATGCCACTCCCTGCTGCTAATCATCTCCTGACTCAGGTTCAATGGTCTCTTTCCTCTACAGGAACTTAGAGTGCCCTTCCCCTACTAATACTAAGGGGAGTGTATTTCTACACTCTGTGAATGGCATCACCCAATGGCCAAGCTCAAACCTGGGAAGCCACTTCTGACCTCTTCTTCTCTCCCTCTCATCCCCTACATCCCCATCACCAAGTCCTGGTGGTGGTACCCCAAAATTATGTCTCAAACTCTCCCTTCGTCTCCTCTACCTTAGCCAGGGAGACAGTCAAAATATGCAATAACCGGCATAACCAGGGGATACTCAGTAGAGACAGCCACCACGGTGCGACTGCGAATGTACTGAGTGTAGTGAGTGCGGAGTGCCCCCCACACCCTGTCAGGCCCTCGGCGAGGCACTGCCTCTTGCCTGAACTGTTGGAGGAGCTCTTTTCCCTCCTCTGATGTCTCTCTTGCACCATGGTCAGAGCAGTTAACCTAATTCGCAAACCCAATCATTTCTTCACGTGCTTAAAGCTCTTCAGTGGCCCCTTCATTGTGTAAGAGACTCCTTTCCAACTCCTCGGTTGGCCTCATAAGAACTTGCCCAGGCTGGACCTACCACTTTCAGAGCCCATCTCCTACCACGTCCCTACAAGCATCCTCTGTCCCAGTCCCACCAAACTGACTACAGGGTCTGGAATAAGCCATGTCTCCATGCCTTGCACTCGAGGCTTCTTCTGCCTAGGGTGCCTTGAACTCCTTGATGCCTCGTGAAGTCCTCCTGATGTGGGCTCAAGACACAACTCAAATGCCACTTCCTTTGTGGAAACCCCCCTGGCCTCCTCCTTGGTGCCTCCACTGTATGTCCCATATGGACCTACCGTTATCATATAGCTCCCTTCTTTGTACTTTGCTTACATGTCTGTCTCTCTCCCACTAGCCTCCACCGTTCTGGAACAGGCTGGGGACCATCTTGTAACCTGCGAACCCCCTAGCACAGTGCTTGGAACATGGTGGGCACTGCGGAGATGCTGATGGATTGATGGATGAATGGGATGATGTAAGGGTGGTCCTTGAGTCAGAGAAGGGATTTGATAAAGCTTCCTGCTCAGGAATCTGTGGTGATGGACGTGTTGGCCAGGATGCAGCATGCAGTAGAACAACAGGTATCACTAACCTCACCGCCCTTTTTGGTTTTTGAGTATGTTTTGACACATCCAGGAATGTTTTTGGATACACAGCGTTCGTGGACAGTGTATTTACAATCTGAAAACAAAAAAACAAAAAGGAAAGTGCTTGTGAGTGTCTACTTTAGGGAGGTCTAGCCGTCTGCCCACCTCCACTCCAGCCCAGGCCCATGCCTCCCTCTGAGTGGCCAGTCAGAGGCAAGGGACATATGGAGTTGGCCTTCCTCATGGAAATCTGGAATAGTCTCCAGTTGCTTATTGAGAAGACAGTCCACATTTCTCTCCCAGACGTGTTTCTATACCCTCTATTCCAACACACTGCTTTCCACTGCAGAGAGTGAACGCAGCAAGAAAACATTCTCAGAAAGGCATTTTCCGCTAAGGAGAACATGAGGAGTCCACCTTCTCAGTATGCCAATGCCATGTATGTTGGGGGTGCTGGAGAGGAAGGAGAAAGGCTGGGGTGTTCTAATTTTGGAGATTTGGAGTTAGGCAGGCCTGGGCCTGAACTCTGGCTCTGCCATTGATAACCACACACATAATCTTGGGTAACTTTCAACACATGTCTGAAATTCAGGGTTTGGGGGACAAAACTGCCTTTCTCTTTGCAAGGCTTTTACAGCATTAAATGAGATAAGGTGTGTAAAGCACTACGTGTCTTGGTCAGAATAGCTATTCCGCACATTATTATTGTGGTTGTTACTACTCTTTACTACTATGCAAACCGTAGAGGCCCAGAGGCCTCGAACCCACCAGGAATAAGATGGGGTTCTTCTGTAAGAAGAGTGTCAGAGCTGGAAGGCCTGGGGGCCCCTCCACTAGCCCACTGATGCTGGCTCTCAGTTGGCACAGGGCCCTGCTTTGCTAAGGTGACTTTTGTGGCTGGGTCACTTGCTGCCTAGCTCATGTGTGCATGTTTAGATGACATGCACATTGGGTGGCCCGAACAGCACCCAAGCGGCAGCTCACCAGGCTCTTGTGGGTCCAGGAGGAGTGTTCGTTACCTGTATGGTAAGGTGGCTGCACCCACAGGCCCTGGCCCCAAAAAGCCTTTGTACTGTAGCCTCTTCCCCTCTCCCTCTGCTCCCCTACTCCCTGTCTCCCTTCTCCTTCCTCCATCACCCCTTCTCCCTCCTTCCCCTCCATCTTTCTCCACTTCTCTCCAGTCCCCTCCCCTCTTTTTTCGCCTTTGTTTTTTTCTCCTCTCCTGACTTTACTAAATGGATTATAAAGACAAACCAAAGGAGAGTCGTAAGTTCCATGCATTTACACAATACAGTCTTATGCTGTTTACTAATGACCACCCCCTAGCTTCAGCAAAATAAACATTCACTAGCAAAACCCAATTAAAATCACTATGAGATGTTTTAAAATTGTGCGTGAACATTAATGATTTTTTTCTAGGGCTCAGCGGCCCATGACAGGACTCCACTAACAGGATATTATTTGTTCATTTGACTTGGGTAAGATGGAAATAGGACACAGAGCTCTTGCTTTATTTCCTGCTGTTGGACAATATAGGTGGTCCCTCAAGCCGGGAGGCAGAAACACCTAGACTCTGCCTGGAATGGCTCAAGACGCTTCCTGGGGAAAGGGGCTTGAAGGAAGTTTACTCACAAACACAGCACAGGCCTTGCTTCCGAACGCCCATCAGCATGATGTGGCAGAAGTTGCAGTAGGTGGGTTTCTTGAAGTGTTTCATGGTCCAGGCATGTCTCCCGTCCCCCTTGGAGCCCTGCAGGGATACGAGGAACGAGATGCTGAGCAGGCAGCTCCGTGCGAATGGAAGCCAGGGAGCGGCTCCTGTAGGTTTTTCTTTTTTCTAAGACTCCTCTCCTGTATGGGACACAAGCTATTCACTTGTTTAACTGTTTTAGGGACTCTTTCAAAAGAAGCACAAATCAAAACAAAGTCCTTTGTTTTTAAAATGAGCAAATATTACACATTAGGAATGTGTGACTAGGAGTGTATGTATGGGGAATAGAATAAAACCTCTCCTACATGGTTGGCAGAAGTGTAAGTCAGAAGAGACTTTTTATCTGTCTTCTATCTCTCCCTCTCTATCCATCCATCCATCCATCCATCCATCCATCATCATCCTTTAAATGTTTGTAACTTTTGACTTAAAAATTCCCCTTCTTGAGTTTTGTCCTAAAAAAACAATTTTTGAAAGTCAGATGAACATTTTTGTGCTCTGCCAGATGTTTAATCCAGCATTATTGGAAATCGGGGGTGGCTGGGGAGCTCAGTCCGTTAAGCGTCCAACTCCTGATTTCAACTCATGTCGTGATCTCACGGTTCATGAGATTGGGCCCCAGGTCGGGCTCTGTGCTGACAGTGTGGAGCCTGCTTGGGATTCCCTCTCTCCTTCTCTCTCTCTCTCAAAATAAATAAATAAGCATTAAAAAAAAATATTTAATGAAAAATTGGAAACATCCTGAAGGTCTCAAAATTATCTGGAGGTTAGTTGTAGTACATCCATATCATTTATCAGCCATCAAAAAGATACTAGTAAGAGTATCTAATGGCATGGGAATGCGCTCATGATACAATGCTAAATGAAGAAACTAGAATGCAAATTGGACAATATAATCTCAGTTTCATACAATAAGATCTTTGATGAGAAGAAATGTCACTGGGCTGTCAACAGAGGTTAGCCACTGTTAGTACTACAGGTTTATTTTAATCTCTAATTTCTCCTTTCTTCTGCATTTTTCACATTTTCTACCATGAGCATGCACCGGTTTTATAATCAGGCAAAAGTAGCTTAGTGAAAACAACGTACTTCTCTCAACTTTCGGTACACAGATAAAATAGTAAAGAGGCAGAAATAGAGAGGGTTAAACCACTTCCTCCTGAACGGACAAATCCATCCTTATCCACTTGATAAGCCGAGCCTCACACAATCACACACCCTCCCTGAGACGCCAGTTCTTCCCGCTTCTAGCTCTAGGAGCACAGTCTCATTGGAGGCCGTGGCTTCAGGAGTATGTCTCCAAGTATGCTGTCCCTAAACTTTTCTCATGGGCTCCATCAAAAGACTAACACCCCTGGGCTGGTCTTAAGGGCAGTCAGAACTACTGTTATAAGGTGGGGAGGGCTGGCAGTCAGGGTGCCAGACTCATACCCCAGTTCCTACTTCCGGGCACCTCTGGTTTGGGCTGGTCACAGCAGCCAGATTCATTCCTGTGCCCAGATTGTGCTCCTTATGGTCCCTAGAAAAGCCCATCTGCCTTTCCAAATGCTGGTCTCCTCCTGGGGGAAGGCTAAGCATTTTTCATCTCACCACCTCAAAATCCTGCTTGTTTCAAGATCTGAGTTTTACAGAATTACAGTCTTTTTATCTAATGATTTCCACTTTTAGTAAATAGTTTTACTAATTGATTAAATGTTTCATAAAAAGATCGATTCCTCCGCTCATTTGATAAACATCTAATTCAGAGAATTTTTGTAAGAATTAAATGAAATAATGTAAGTAAAGCTACTAAACCAGTGCTTACCACAGTGTGAATTAAAACTTTTATTAAGGGGTGCCTGGGTGGCTCAGCTGGTTAAGTGTCCGACTTCGGCTCAGGTCATGATCTCGCAGTCTGTGGGTTCAAACCCTGTGTCGGGCTCTGTGCTAACAGCTCAGAGCCCAGAGCCTGCTTCGGATTCTATGTCTCCTCCTCTCTCTGCCCCTCCCATTCTCATGCTCTGTCTCTCTCTCTCAATAATAAATAAACGTTAAAAAAAATTAAAAAAAACCCTTTTATTAAGTTTCTCTCAGTGTTAGACACTAGGGAACACAAAACAAGTGAAGTATCCGTTTACCTGTCAGGAGGTAGACTTCTACCTATACAAGAAAGAAAAGAAAGAAAAAGAAAAGAAAGAAAAGAAAGAGGGCCTTGGAGAAGTTATATAAATAATCCAAGACCATAAAATAACAAGCAACTGATTTAATAACTGGAGGTCTTGCTGGCCTGAGCCCTTTAATCCCTCCCCCCTGCCTCTACAATCCAGGGTTTTCTTTCCTGGACAGAAAGGAGATTACAGCACTCTTCAGCGGACCCCACTGCGCCTTCCTGTAGCCTGAATGATGGTCATTTTACCTGAAAATACCTTCATTAACTAAGCCAGCTGACTTTCCTTTTCTCAGATACTATTTTCCTAGATACCGGGTTAGAAGCGAAAGGACGCAGAGGAAGGCTAAAGCAACATTTCTGCTTGGGTTATAGCACCATCATGTGGCCTTTTCATTTCTACAGGCTGTGGGAGTAACCTCCCTGCGGTGAACCAGGGGCGAGGGTGCGGCTGCAACTTCCCCCGGACACAGCCTCTTTCTCATATGCATGTGTGCCATTCAGACATTTTCAGTGTCCACAAGTGGGTTTGGAAAGAGCCAAAGGAGCAATGTGATTTTTAAGACATTGAGGGATGCTTTCTTCAGAGTCCTGAGTATTAGATGCAAAAACTTACAATTTAGTGCATGTTTAGAATTAAATGCATAAAACTTTTGATCAATAAAAACCACATTGGCATTTGCTTTTGTCTGTCACTTTATTGATGTAAATTATGGTCTTCTACCTGGCTGTTTTGGCATTTGGGGGAGATACTGGGGAGAGTGTTGAAGAAATAGTCTGCCTCTCCCTCTTCCAGCCATAAGACAGCGGCTCCATGCAAAGAGTCGTGTGGTGCCTTGGACTTACCAAGTCCAAAACAGAATAGAGAACAGAAATTGCTTCCTTGTGATTAAAGTGTTTCATTTTCATTCCCACATTTCAGAGAAAAAACCAGGTATGCTGGAACAACACCCAAGCGGGACTTCTACTTTGATCCAAGTATTGATAGCAGAAACTATGTCTTCCTTATCTGAGCACCTCATGTCCTAGCTCACGTGGGTTCTTGCCCACGGAATGTTCTTGGTAAAGAGTCACTGAATGACGTGTGCTCCTCTGAAATACGGAGGTTAGCCTCTGGTATTAACTAGGTGTGTGTCCTTGGCAAAATCCCTTTACCTCTCTGGCCCTGAGTTTGTAAAATGAAGGGATTAGACCACGGATCACCAGGATCTTCTCCAGCTCTGACTTTTTGGGTCCTAAGGAATAAGAAGGGAGTTGCGTAGCTCCTGGGTCCTTGATTTCTAGTTAGCACTTGGAAAGACCTGGACGTGCCAAGATGACTGCAGGATTCTTTGTTCTTGAGTGTTGGGAACAGAGGCCCAGGTTCTGAACTGCAGTCCTGAATTGCAGAACTGTCACCTGGAGACATTATAGGTAATGCAATGGTCCTGATGCGATGGTCCTGGTAAATGCTCAATGTCACGATGTGTACTTCTGGTTTTTATCCTTCCTACCTTGTGTAGGGGTATCCTTCCTACCTTTTGCATTTCCCTTGCAAAATAAGCAGACTAGGTCAGATGCAGGCATACATTATGCCTCTGTATGTATCCCCTACTCAGATCAAACTGGGAGGTTTCTCTAATACACTCTGAACTTTGTCATTTAGGTCTTTGACCAAGCTTTTCTCCCAGCCATAAACTCTCTCTTCTATCATCTTCCGTCTGCCAAATCATATCCATCCTTGAGAACCAGATCCAACATCCTCTAAAGTCTTTCTACCTGATCTTTACACTCAAGGATGAGATACCAGAATCCCACATGTACTTCTGCCCAGGGCAAACAACCTCCAAGGCTTCTCCCTCTTTCTCACTTCTAAGTGTGGGAGGTTTAGCAAGAGTGGGATCTTTGGAGTCAAGTGCAAATAAATTCTGCCTCCTCCTTTGCTCTTTAGGCCCCAAATCTCACTTTTCCATCTACATAAATTGGGGGAAAATATCTATCTTATCTGGTTGATTTGGTGGTTGAATAAGATACCATCACTGAATGTCCTCCACCTTCTGACAGATCGGTAGTTTTCCTTCCCTTCCTTCTCCCTTTCTTCCTTCCTCAACTCTCTTAGCATGTTTTAACCTAACTTGTGGAAAAGATGGTATTATCCCTTGATTTTTTTTTCCCCCCCTCTTCCCGGTTGGGTATAAGCTTCTGGTGGATGAATACTGTATCTGTGTCCCCTCCCAGCACTCAGAACAGTATCTTTACTTAGTTACAATTTGAAAATGCCCTCTGTGAAATGCATGAATTATATGCCAGACACTAATCAGTAAAAAGAGAGGGCTTTTGGGCTGGCCTAGAGTATCTGGTGTGTCCATTGGGAAGACTGGGGCAGAAGCCAAGGCCGTATACAGATGTTAACTTCCACGTGGAGCCTGATGCTTCTGAAAGGCAAGAGCTCTTTGAGCTCAGGCTTGCTGACTTACAGAGTCATCCATGCCCAGCAGGACCAGCAGTGGGATGGTGGTCATCCCTCCGTGGACCCATTCCTCTAGAGACACAAAGCCGTCCCGGTCGTAGTCCATTCCTTGCAACATCTCCTTCAGTATCTGCAGAACCCAGAGAGCAACAATTGTCCACTTTCATCCTGCACTTCCCTGCCTCCCTCTGTCTCCTTCTTTCTCTTTTGCTCTGCCTTATCTTTGCCCTCTAATTCACAGTGAGCAGAGCAGTGAGGGGGCAAAAAGGGGTGAGGAGGCCAGTGTTCAGTGCCTGGCCCTGCCCTGCCCTGACTGTGTGGCCTTGGGCAAGCCACTCCTCTCTGGGTTCTGCTTTGCTCATCTGTAAAATGAAAATAACATTGCTATGCTTGGAGCACTGTAGTGAGGGCAAGAGAAAATGAATATAAAATGTCTAATCTAATAACTGACTCATAGGAACCCCCCCCAGTGTAATTATTATTATTAATATTACCTAGTGATTGAGAAAATCTTTAAAATTCTAGCTCTAAATTCCTTGAACTCCTGTTATAAAAATTTAACTCCGGTGGAAACGTTAGGGAGTATTATTAGGTATTACTATTTGAATTATGTCTTCAATTTTTCCTGTCAGAGAAGTGGAAGGTCAAGGTATAGGACCCTAGAGAAGTTGCCTATAAGAAACTAAGTCTGGGAGAGCATGCACAGTAAACACTTGTATCCAAGTCCTGAATCCTGCTTTTCATTTTGGAGGCTCACGTGGACGTCACCCCTTGCTTCTGGAAACTCACAGGCCTCAGCTCCGTGGGATCCCACTCCAGATACTGGGCAACGTGAAGCATCTGGTTGACAATACGATCCATCTCCTGGAAAACATCAAGAGGAGAGAACCACTGAAGATGTGTTTTCAAGAGCAATTCTCAAAATCCAACCCCCAGCGAAGCTCCTGGGCAGGGGCGGAGCACAAGAAGCAACAGTGTAACTGTTCTGCTCTTTATGCCTTGACTACAAAGGTCTATGGAGAGTAGATGCTCAAAGAAGCATAGAACATGGATAAGTCAGAGGTATGGAGACAGCTCACTGAACACCAACCTCCTCCTGGACCCACCTGGACTCACCTTTTTCCCCAATCCTGCGCTTTGACCCAACCCAGCATAGAGGGTACCCATGTTTTCCCCTTCTTTGTGACTGTAGCTCCCTAAATATTTATAAGCCAACACAATTCTCTCCTATTTTATCCCTCCTCATTCCCATAGCTTTAAAAAAAATTTTTTTTAACGTTTATTTATTTTTGAGACAGAGAGAGACAGAGCATGAACAGGGGAGGGGCAGAGAGAGAGGGAGACACAGAATCTGAAGCAGGCTCCAGGCTCTGAGCTGTCAGCACAGAGCCCGACGCGGGGCTCGAACTCACGGACCGTGAGATCATGACCTGAGCCGAAGTCAGACGCTTAACTGACCAAGCCACCCAGGCGCCCATCCCATAGCTTTAGCAACTTGGGATCCATCTATACCCCTCAAGGGTCGGTTTCAGTTGGATACAGGGCCACTATGTTGGTTGTAGCTCAGGCACTATGATTTAGGTCACTTGGGGCATCTCTGTTTCCTTTGCATCACATCCAGCCCTAAGCCCAGGGCTCTGTGAATAGGAAATTTATAAGGGCTACATTTGCCTGGTGAGTGAGCCTTTTGTTTAGTACCAAGACCAGGCTTTATTTAAAACCTCACAGAATTGTTGGACGCTAATGAATCAGTACACCCAGTGTTGCACAGAAACACAGTGGACTGAGGAGGGGTTTGCATCTCTTGGGCACCATCGAAGATGTTCAAAGTAAGATTGATCTGGGGAGACACATTGGTGAACCGAAGCAAAGTTCACAAGTGTTATCTCTAGGGGCGCCTGGGTGGCTCAGTCATTTAAGTGTCTGACTTCAGCTCAGGTCATGATCTCATGGTTCTTGAGTTTGAGCCCCACTTCAGGCTCTGGGCTGACAGCTCAGAGCCTGGAGCCTGCTTCAGATTCTGTGTCTCCCTCTCTCTCTGCCCCTCCCCTGCTCGTTCTCTCTCTCTCACACACAAATAAACATTAAAAAAAAAAATAAAAGTGCTACCTCCACCAGGTAGAATGCTGGGTCAAAATAAGCCATCTAAAGCCCAGCAGGGTTTTTAAAAATTGTATTTTATTTAAATTAAAAAAAATCCATCACAAAACTGCAGATGAGGCAGTAAATTGGGATAAGGAAGTGGGCAGAACAGTGGAGACAGGGCTCAGCAAAATTTCCAAAGAAAAAGAGCTTGCAGATCTAGCTGGCTCCAAGATTCATTGATTAATAAAACAATGTGATTCAGGAACAGAGAATTAGATTCAGTCTCGGCCTGTGTGAATGGGTGGGCATTTTCAGGAAGCACAGTGGGTAGATTTTAGGAAGACCTTGTTCCCCTGATGTCTACCCTGGTCAGGCCACATGTGGATACTTAAAGAGTCATGGAGGAGTGGGTTAAGTTCTGTGCCGCATTTTAAGAAAGGCACTGAGAGAGGCACCTGGGTGGCTCAGTCAGTTGGGCATCTGACTTCGGCTTAGGTCATGATCTTGCAGTTCACAAGTTTGAGCCCCATGTCAGGCTCCGTGCTTACAGCTCAGAGCCTGGAGCCTGCTTTGGATTCGTTGTTCCCCTCTCTCTTTCTCCCTCCCCCACCTGTCCGCTATCTCCCTTTCTCTCTCAAAGATAAATAAACATTAAAAAAAAAAAATGAATAGCACTGACAAACCAGAGCTTGGTCAGAGTGGTTATTTAAGCCTGCCTTATGAGAAACAGTGTGGAAATTGTGGAATTTGAGCTTAGAGAAGATCTTCGGGTAGATGTGACAGTATCTTCAGAAACTGAAAGGCCTATTGTATAGGACTGGTATTCCACTGGTCAGCTGTCTTGGTCAGCTACCCAGGGCAGAAGTAAGCAGAGGGCTGTAGGGAAGGAGTTGAAGGCTGGCCTGTTTTGACCTCCCTGCTGGGTTGGGGGAAGGGGAATGGAGCAAAGAATCCTGTTTTGTGTAGAAAATTTCTCTGGCAGACTAGAGGTGCCTTTTGTGCAGAAAGGACGCCCTCTCTAACAGTGCCCCCAGCAGTGCAATGGCTGTCCCAAGGGAGAAGGTGAACTCGCCATTCCTATGAGCTTTCACACACAGCCTGAGGATCCATCTTCCAAGGATCCTCCGTGGGAAGTTGAATCAGATATTTCTATTGGGACTCACTTCCATCTACCGATGCTGCCTTCTAAATAGATCTGGAACTTCACCACTTCTTACCAGCTGCAATGGTCCTACCCTGGTGCAAGCTACCATCATTTCTTGTCTTGTCTATTCCAACAGCCTCCTCACTGATATCTCTGCTTGAGTCCATACAGTCCGGTCTCAACAGAGCAGCTGGAGTGACCTGGTAAAACTGAAGTCATGTCACCCCTCTGCTCAAAATCTCCAGTGGTTCTCCACTTCTCCAGAGTAAAAGACAAACTTTCCCAGTCACCTATATGGCTTGGTATGTTTTATAGACTCTCCCCGCAAGCACCCCTGGCCATCACTTGTCTGATCTCATCCCCTACTACTTCTCACTTTGACCTCCTCACTCTTCTGCTCCATCACTCTGGCCTCCTCATTAACCCACCCACATTCCAAGCCCCCCGAGGACCCCTGCACTGAGGCTCCCTCTGCCTGGAAGGTGCTTCATCTGGATATCCCCAGGACTTACTTCCTCACCTCCTACCAGTCCCTGTTCAAATGCCCCCTGGTGGAGACCTTCCTTGGCTCCTCAAGCTAAACCTGCAGCCCCTTCCCCCCAGCACTTCCTTCTCTCCTTTATCTGTCTTCCAGTACACACATCTCTCTAACACATATCTTGCTATGCTTTGTAGTGCATGTGCTTGCACGATGATGAAAGTTTCACGAGGGCATGGATTTCCGTCCATTGGCTTCACCGATATATCCCCGGTGCTCGACATGTGGCAGACACTCAACAAACATGTGTCTATCCAATGCCTGAGTGTCTGTGATTCTCTGGCTGTTCCCTGGCAGGACACAACCCACAGCATTGCGATGTGGCTGCAGGAATGTCTTAAAGGCACCCTGGGGTTTAGAGGACGTTAGGATGATTTAGGTGGTCTAACGGACTTGTTTCCTTCCTTCCCCGCGGGACTGGTCTGACTCAGCCCCATGCCCCCCGCCCTCACAGCCTTTCTGTTAAGGAGTCCTGTCTCTGACACTGCTGGCCGTGAGCACGAGGCCTGTCTGATTCTTTTTGCCTTCTCCCCTCTCTGCTTTCTTCCTTCTCCATCCTTCCTTTCACCCCATGATCCTGTCCTATCCCTGCCTATTCCTGAGGGAGAGTGGGGGCGGGGCTCAGGCTTTCCCAGGTTCAATGGGATGGGACCATGTGCTCCGAGCAGGAAGAACCAGACTCGTTGAGCTAATACCCCCGAGCACAAGAGGAAGACTAGGAAGTTAAACTAGAGAAGACACTAAAGCATCTCCCCATTTTGAGGTTTTGTGATCCTGGGCTTCTAAAATGAAAAGGCTAGGTAGAGTTCACTCCCCCTCAGGCTGGTGCTATTCGAAGTGGTAGTATGTGGGGGGGGGGGGGGGGGGGGGGGGGGAGGAGTTCTACCATGACTTCTGTAGCCCATATTGACACATTGCTATTTCCATAAATATGGAACTGGGAATTTTTACTCTTCCTCTACTCGCTCCCCTCTCCCCGAGATTTTCTTGGTTTCAGGAGGGACATTTGGAGGGAGAACTTACCGCCTGGTCCAGGAGACCGTTCTCATCTGAATCATAGAGACGAAACATGACTGCAAGAGACACAGAGGTGAGGCTCGAGGTGTCCTCTGGGCACCAGGGACGAGCTGAGACTCTGATGCTGTCAGTCTTTAGATGAGTTCTGTCACTGGGGCGAAGGCTATTGCAGCCAGGTTACCCACCCTCCCAGGCGCAGAGTTTGACTTCTTACAGACAGGGTGGGAAGAGGGTGGAGAACCAAGCCATCTGGCTTCCGGATCTGTCTAACCAATAACTGTGGCTGATGAGATCCAGGTCACGGTATGATTCCTGGTAGAGCATGCGTATCTCGCAGTATCACTGGAACATGACTCAAAGCAAATGCCCAGCTGATGGTGGGTAGAGGCACCCAAATTATAAATGGGATACTGCTTCCGTTGCACACGGAAAGGGTGTGGACTTAGGCAGACTCACATGTTGGCCTTGTCCTACCATCCTGGGCATCAAACAAGTCATTTAACTTTGTTCGGCCATGTTTCTTTATCTGTAAGATGGAGACTGTGATGTTTTCTTTCTCCTAGGTTTGTTTGGTTTTTTTTAAATGAGGATTAACATGTAAATGATAGGCCAATTTTTTGTCTCCATAATAATTTTTAGTTTTTCTAAATAAGATATAAACATAAAGTGTAAAGATATGTATAAAACAATAAATATCATAAAACCTTTAAAATGTTCATAAAAGAAACATGCCAAGTAAGACTACATACATAAAGTAAATATTTTTGCTGGCCTTTTCAATACTTAGAAAGGCTTTAGGAGAAGATTTTTGACAACGTAGCTCTCCTTAAAAAGATACCCAGAGAAGTTTAAATTGACGTGTTCTTTCTCTTAACATCCCCATAGCAAGCAGAGAAGTTCAACATTATTTCATTAACCTCATGATTTCAGGCCAGCTATGATTACTCCAAAAATCGATATTATGACATCTAAATGTTTTTGACCTCATTAAAGATTTTAGAAAGATTGAGCTTATATAATACAGACTTCTATTCCTGTGCCCTATTCCTAAATCTCACAGTGCTTGGAATGTAGAAAGCACTCAACAGATATTATTCATTTTTCTTTCAATAATGAACATTTATATATGGCATTTAATAAGTACGATGTACTCTCCTATGCAATTTATCATTACTACTCATTTAATCCTCATTACCACCACTACAGAAGCTACTGTATTTATTTTTCTGAAATGTCAACATGTTATTCAGAAACATCCTCTATCATGTTCTAGCTGTAGGGAGGTGATGCAGGATAAGGAAAATCTGAGAGAGAAATTTGGGCAAAGTACTACATTTTCATTTCTGGGACCTGGGAACTTGCATTTTGGTCATCTAAAAGGTAGAGATCCTGTCTGTGATCTCAGAAGTAAGCAGAGTGGGGAGCATAGCTGAACACATCTTCATTTTCCTCCAGTTCTAACTTCATCAGGCCTGCTTTCTCTGTGGAGCCTCCCCTAACTGCCCCTTCCCCCACATACCCACTCTGGACCTCTCAGCATGTACCCAAAGGTGACAACACTCCTGCTAAGTTGGCCGTGTGTTGCTACATCTTTCTGTATGTTTTAATATCCCTGCACCTTGTGCTTGTTCAGCTGTGTGATCCTGGTAGGAGCTGAGGTTCTTTAAAAGTAGGATCGTAGCCTTGGGATTCTCCGTGAAACTTCAGAATGTCCTGGTCAGAGGAACTCGGCATATGAGGCTGACTCACCAAGCAGATAAAGAAGGACAGAAAGACCTTCCCGCGACTGTTGCTCCCAGACCCTGGGCCGGGGCAACTCTTAACACAGAGCTCTCTTGGTCCTAATATGCACTGATAGAACTAGAAAGTGTAAGCACTCAGTTTTTCAGCAGCATGGCCTTGGGCAAGTCATTTACACTTTCTGCGCTTTCTGACACGTCAAATGAAAACAATCACACTGACCTTCTAGGGTTATTGTGAGGTTAAAATGAGATCATGTATTTAAAGTGATTAGCAGAGGGGTGCCTGAGTGGCTCAGTCAGTTAAGCGGCTGACTTCAACTCAGGTCATGATATCATGGTTGGTGGGTTTGAGCCCCGTGTCTCAGGCTCAGTGCTGACAGCTCAGAGCCTGGAGCCTGCTTCCAATTCTGTGTCTCCCTCTCTGCCCCTCTCCCACTCATGCTGTCTCTCTCTCTCTCTCTCTCTGTGTCTCAAAAATAAATAAATGTTAAAAAAAATTAAAAAAAAAATAAAGTGATTAACAGATATAAGGTGTTCAACAAGGAGAATTATTATTGTTAATGTATTGATAAAAGGTATGAGTTCAGGCTATAATTTCCAAAAAGATACATGTTTGGTTATTAAAAAGGAAAGCTTAAGTCGTTTTCAGTCATTAAAATCAGGGGCAGATTTGAATTTATTTGGTTTCATTAAAAAACACAAGTAAGGGGCGCCTGGGTGGCTCAGTCGGTTAAGCGTCCGACTTCAGCTCAGGTCACGATCTCACGGTCCGTGAGTTCGAGCCCCGCGTCAGTCTCTGGGCTGATGGCTCAGAGCCTGGAGCCAGTTTCTGATTCTGTGTCTCCCTCTCTCTCTGCCCCTCCCCCGTTTATGCTCTGTCTCTCTGTGTCTCAAAAATAAATAAACTTTAAAAAAAAAAAAAAAAAAAACACAAGTAAGATTAAAAACTCAGCAGGCCAAATGATCTGCAACAAAAAATTACAAGGAAAAAAATAAGCAGAAGATTAAAATAGAAGAAACATAAGAAGCAATGGCAATGTATAGACCAAGTTTGGATCCTGAGTCAAACAACTAAAAATATATAAGAAAACTGGGAAAATGTGAACACTGACAATATTTGATATATAAACGGTGAAATGAAATCAAGTCACTTATGTCAAGGGGTTTTAAAATGGAGTTGGGAGGTCATCAAGTAGATGGGCCTTACCCACATCCTAACTGGGTGGAACTGTGAACTCTGACTTGGGCCAAACTTCAAATATTCCAAGGACTCAATTCTAATACCTGTAACTTGCTACAGTAAGAGTCTGTTTAGTGACAGCCTTAGTAACTAATTATATTCAGTCAAGATTCGTCTTCTGCCATCAACACCAATAAAAAAAATTCTCTGTAAACAACATATACAAACATTCCCTTTTGTCTTTAAAAACCCTCAACTTCTGTTCCCTCGGAAGGGCACTATTTGGCTTGCTGCCCAAATCTGTGTTCCCTGAACTGCTATTCTGAGGCCCTAAATAAGTGCTTTTGCTCTTATACTGGCTCTGCCTCTTTTCTCTCTGAACAGACAATAGTAAGGAGTCATTGTCTTTCAATGTGATAATGGTGCTGTGGTTATATTTAAGAAAAAGTCATATTTTTTGAATACTGAAATATTTATAGGTGAAATTACTGATGTCTGAAATTTGCTTCAACATATCCTGGGGCAGAGGGAATGCATGGGAGGTATAAATAAAGCATGATTGATTATAAGTCAGTAATTACTGAAGGTGGCTGATGGGTATATGGAAGTTCATTGTACTTTATACTTTTATCTACGTTGGAAATTTTCTATAATAAAAAGTTTTTTAAAATGCAGTTTCTTGGGGTGCCTGGGTGGCTCAGTTGGTTAAGCGTCTGACTTT